CTACAAAACAAAAATTTGGAATCTAAATTCTTAACATTGTTTTGTTTCATTATAATGTCCCATTTAAGGGACAGAATTTTCTGATCCATTTGTATAAGAGAAAACAAGGAGAAATGGTATTTCAACACTTCACATGTTGCTACTTAGTAGTACTACAAAAGTGATTTAAACCATTGAATATATAAATACAAGTCTACTGGGCATATCAGTCACTATTCCTAAATCATGAGCGAGTATTTAAGAGTGTAACAATAAGGCACTAGTTTCTGACACTATTGGCGGTCGGTACAGGTGAACTACGGTTTCTAATGACATATATGTGTTCATAGCAACTAAACAATACAAGAGTAATGAACCATTGAACCATGTAATTTAGAAATGGTATGTCATGTCACATTTCCTATGCAGAAGCTTAACCTTAAATATGATTTGCAAAGCATTGACTTGATCTCAAAATTCTGCAGAACAGGAATTCAATACTTTGAGAAAATCCCGACCAAAAAACCATGTAATTTTAGACAGAGGGCTTCAATGAACTGTAAACATCTAAGGTCATGTTACTAGTTTAATTTTTATCATCATAAAAGACTTTTTATTATTACTTAGTGATAGTAAAACTGTGTATAAGGTAAAAGCTGATAGCAATTTAATTGATGTACTTTGTAGATTGTTCAACAGATAATCCATCTTTATAAACAGCTGATCATGTGTATTTTACTATATGTTTGTTTTCCTCTTATTTGCTTATTTTCAGAAGCATGAGCAAATTCAGCATGTTATATATAATCTAACCCTATTTTCATATTTCTGCAGATAAGCAGTGGGGGTGGGGGGTGGGGGCAGGGTTGGGGGTTGGGAGACATATTATTCCTGACTCAAAGTCAGGGTTGGGGTTTTTACAGGACAGTAAGCCAAAGGGAATGGAATGTATGTACATATTTGTATCAAATTCCTGTAACTTTTTTGTAACTTTTTTCTTGTTTATTTCATGACATCAGTAAATATATTTTTTCTTTCTTGTCTCTTCGTTCCTGCATTCAATTTTCTCCTGTTTTAACATCCCTTCAGTCCTAACCAGTTCTGAAGTTACTTTAGTTTTATATCCTTTTGCCATTTGTTCCCTTAAGTTGGTTTCCACTGTTTTATTTGTGGCACATTGTAAGTTCTGCTTCCACGTCTCCTCAAGTTTTTGTTAGATTTCAGTACCGATTTTGCCATCTGATATCAATAGGCTGATAGTAATTGTATGTCTCGCCAATCAACAGGTAGTCCGATTCAGTCAGTACTGTCTACTCACCAATCAGCAGGTAGTCCGATTCAGTCAATACTGTCTCCTCACCAATCAACAGTAGTCCGATTCAGTCAATACTGTCTCCTCACCAATCAACAGGTAGTCCGATTCAGTCAATACTGTCTCCTCACCAATCAACAGGTAGTCCGATTCAGTCAATACTGTCTCCTCACCAATCAACAGGTAGTCCGATTCAGTCAATACTGTCTCCTCACCAATCAACAGGTAGTCCGATTCAGTCAATACTGTCTCCTCACCAATCAACAGGTAGTCCAATTCAGTCAATAATGTCTCCTCACCAATCAACAGGTAGTCCGATTCAGTCAATACTGTCTCCTCACCAATCAACAGGTAGTCCGATTCAGTCAATACTGTCTCTTCAACAATCAACAGTAGTCCGATTCAGTCAATACTGTCTCCTCACCAATCAACAGGTAGTCCGATTCAGTCAATACTGTCTACTCACCAATCAGCAGGTAGTCCGATTCAGTCAATACTGTCTCCTCACCAATCAACAGTAGTCCGATTCAGTCAATACTGTCTCCTCACCAATCAACAGTAGTCCGATTCAGTCAATACTGTCTCCTCACCAATCAGCAGGTAGTCCGATTCAGTCAATACTGTCTCCTCACCAATCAACAGTAGTCCGATTCAGTCAATACTGTCTCCTCACCAATCAACAGGTAATCCGATTCAGTTAATACTGTCTCCTCACCAATCAACAGGTAGTCCGATTCAGTCAATACTGTCTCCTCGCCAATCAACAGGTAGTCCGATTCAGTCAATACTGTCTCCTTGCCAATCAACAGGTAGTCCGATTCAGTCAATACTGTCTCCTCACCAATCAACAGTAGTCCGATTCAGTCAATACTGTCTCCTCACCAATCAACAGGTAATCCGATTCAGTTAATACTGTCTCCTCACCAATCAACAGGTAGTCCGATTCAGTCAATACTTTCTCCTCACCAATCAACAGGTAGTCCGATTCAGTCAATACTGTCTCCTCACCAATCAACAGGTAGTCTGATTCAGTCAATACTGTCTCCTCACCAATCAACAGGTAGTCTGATTCAGTTAATACTGTCTCCTCACCAATCAACAGGTAGTCTGATTCAGTCAATACTGTCTCCTCACCAATCAACAGGTAGTCTGATTCAGTCAATACTGTCTCCTCACCAATCAACAGGTAGTCTGATTCAGTCAATACTGTCTCCTCACCAATCAACAGGTAGTCTGATTCAGTCAATACTGTCTCCTCACCAATCAACAGGTAGTCCGATTCAGTCAATACTGTCTCTTCACCAATCAACAGGTAGTCTGATTCAGTCAATACTGTCTCCTCACCAATCAACAGGTAGTCTGATTCAGTCAATACTGTCTCCTCACCAATCAACAGGTAGTCTGATTCAGTCAATACTGTCTCCTCACCAATCAACAGGTAGTCCGATTCAGTCAATACTGTCTCCTCACCAATCAACAGGTAGTCCGATTCAGTCAATACTGTCTCCTCACCAATCAACAGGTAGTCTGATTCAGTCAATACTGTCTCCTCACCAATCAACAGGTAGTCCGATTCAGTCAATACTGTCTCCTCACCAATCAACAGGTAGTCTGATTCAGTCAATACTGTCTCCTCACCAATCAACAGGTAGTCTGATTCAGTCAATACTGTCTCCTCACCAATCAACAGGTAGTCCGATTCAGTCAATACTGTCTCCTCACCAATCAACAGGTAGTCTGATTCAGTCAATACTGTCTCCTCACCAATCAACAGGTAGTCTGATTCAGTCAATACTGTCTCCTCACCAATCAACAGGTAGTCCGATTCAGTCAATACTATCTCAATCTTTGAATCTTAATCCATCCACATTGATGCATTAACTGTACATAAAATGGAAAGCACTGCCCTATACAGTAACAGCAGTTAATTAATCTGTTTCGTGTTTAAGGTAGCCTTTTTGTTTCAATGTTTGCTGACACAGTGTAACTTTGATACCAAAACCTGAATGAGACAGAGAAGATCATGGAACATGGATCAAGTCTTCAGATCTTTCAATATGTTGAACAGCAGCATCAATGAGCAGTGGCACCATACAAATGGCATACACAACATTTAAACTCTTTTCTTCATAGAAAAATTACATCTTAAGATGTGACACTCTATTCCCCAAAACAACACTATACCATGCTATGTTTCACCATAATATCACTCTATGATATGATATGATATTTCTTTATATTTCATGACAATATCTTTTCTTAGTAGCGACACCATATAACATATCTGCTAACCCTAAGACCTGGTACTTAACCAATGAAAAGTAGAACAGAAAATAAACTTTGATAAACACTTTGTTTCAGATCTTTTGTGGTCATACCATTTGGTATACTGGTTAAAATTCAATGAATTTTACAAAAATAAAATATTAATTTCTTCTTGCCATTTTTAACGATTGGTTTAACAGGTAAATTACCTGCCTACACCAGTAAAATACAGGTAAACTATAATGAGTACACAAGATATTTCATTGCTTTGCCAAGAAAGAGTGATGGCAGATGACAAGGTACAATGTTAATTTAAAGACTTTTCTTTGCAGTAATATAGAGGTGGAAACATTTCTATTTTTGTTAAAAGACCTGCAGGTGTTAGCATTCAATAAATGATGTTTATTTACATAGCCAGATACAACACAATAGGGAGAATGTGTCATAACAGGGAGAGAGATACAACACTATAGGGAGAATGTGTTGTAACAGGGACAGAGATACAACACTATCGGGAGAATGTGTTGTAACAGGGACAGAGATACAACACTATCGGGAGAATGTGTTGTAACAGGGACAGAGATACAACACTATCGGGAGAATGTGTTGTAACAGGGACAGAGATACAACACTATAGGGAGAATGTGTTGTAACAGGGACAGAAATACACCATTTTAGAAAAAACAGTCTTAATAGATAAAGAGTCAACAAGAAGGGTACAGATACAGCCACGGTCACTTCTACTATGGCTTCTATTACCAGTATGAAGCAATGATCAAATATTTGTGATGTTAATCTAGACTTTCTAAACAATAAGAGTGATTTGGTTACACATGCTAGAATTGTAGGCAAGAAAACTTTACAGGAATCCTCAGGTATCTGATAATACACAAAGTATTGATATTTTGTTGTACTTTCTAACACTAGTCCTGGAATTTGATTACAGAAAATATGTAATACAACATTACATAATGGGCATTTTATAAATAGAGTCATTTAGAGATAAAACATGGTCATGAAATAACTACAGGTTTTTTTTTTATTCTTTACTCTTCAAAAGGCTATGGGGATGGCCTAACAGCACACTCTGTACAGAAAATGACCCAATTCCACACTCAAGTTAAGATCCTACAATAAGTAGATATTCTGGAAATTTTTATAGTCAGACTTGAAAAGGTATGGATAATTTTAATCATTTGCAGATGAAAAATTAATTGTTAGTTACAATCTGTACCTCTGGCTGGAATCCAATTCAGCAATTTCAATGACAGCTACTGTTATGTCCACAGTAGAATAGTGAACCAATTGAAGACCTTTAGGGTTTTCTTGTAGGCGACTGCTACCCGGCCCAATAATATTTCTAATATTTTAAATAAGGTACACCTAAGTGTGACAAGCTTACAGGTAAAATGTATTTTGATAAAATTTTATAAGAAAATCTTACCTTCAGGTGTGACGAGAGGTGAGTAATACTCATGATCCTCGCCCGACATGACTCCTTGCTCTGAGTCTCCTATCAGTCTGCTCCTCTCGGACACATACTGATGGCTATGGTTAACTGCCAAACAACAGAGTGAAATCAAATTACACTTTTTTCCCCCCACAAATATGGATTTTATATTATTTAGAAAACTTCTTTTAATCATAACTATACAAAGAAGTGCATGTAATCATTAAAATTAAACAACACTGGTCTAGTGATGTATTATGAAACAAGAACAGCATGGTTACAATTACGAGTAATGGTCCTAATTCATAAAACAGAAAGTGAAAATTATGCATAAACTTGTATCTTATGTCCTGGCTTTTAAAATGTGCTTTTTTTTGTTTCATCTGAAAGTTTGTTTGTTTCCAAGTGATATGAAATTTCATTGAAATTAAAAACAAAAATCACATAAAAATTGCTAATTATGTCAGGATCGTTGCTCGAGTGGCCAGAGAATGCATAGAAAAAATAAAACTCTGAGGTGGCAAACACTTTTATATAGATATAATGTTGTTTCTATAATAATGAATTGCTGATCTGTATTGAGATTGTTAAATATCATAACACATTGATTCGGCGATATAAATCATGACATTTCTAGATTGACAATACAAAGTTCAAATAAGGAAGCTGAAGCTATTTAATCAGAACAAACAAATACAAAATACACCTGTCAAAGATGAAGATAAGTTTAACAGCTAACACTATAATTTGAGTTCTTTAACCAAAGGGAAGTTTCACCTCAATCTCGGTGCTTTTTTCTTCACCAGGATGATTCTGATAATATATTAGCTAAGTTTGACCGGTAAAACTATTTGAGTTCTTTAACCAAAGCGAATTCTCACCTCGATCTCGGTGCTTTTTCTCCACCAGGATGACTCTGATAATATATTAGTTAAGTTTGACCCATAAAACTATTTGAGTTCTTTAACCAAAGCGAAGTCTCACCTCGATCTCGGTGCTTTTTTCTTCACCAGGATGACTCTGATAATATATTAGTTAAGTTTGACCCATAAAACTATTTGAGTTTTTCAACCAAAGCGAAGTCTCACCTCGATCTCGGTGCTTTTTTCTTCACCAGGATGACTCTGATAATATATTAGTTAAGTTTGACCCATAAAACTATTTGAGTTCTTTAACCAAAGCGAAGTCTCACCTCGATCTCGGTGCTTTTTTCTTCACCAGGATGACTCTGATAATATATTAGTTAAGTTTGACCCATAAAACTATTTGAGTTCTTTAACCAAAGCGAAGTCTCACCTCGATCTCGGTGCTTTTTCTCCACCGGGATGACTTTGAAGTCCAGGAACCATGTCTCGGCCCAGGCCAACACAAACGAGATGATCAGGACAACATAACTCAGAGGATTATTATTATTATCTTTAAACTGAAACAATGATCACATGAAAAATGACAGCGTGAAAGGTTGAACGTCAGGGTGAATGTTTCTCGTACAGAGTATAAGATACATAGTCAATGCTGACATAACATGATAAAAATTAATACAGTTGATCCATCTTACTGACATAAATCTGATAATGAAAAACTTCCCAAAGGATAAACAACATGTATGAACATCATTGATTTAAAATAATTTTAACACTCAAATATTTCCCAAATTTAAGATATAAAATTGTTTATTTATTGATTTTTTTAAAAATGTGTTTACATAAGAAGAAATAGTATATATTGACAATGTTTATACTTACATTGAATAAAAAACATTTGGCTAAAAGATAACCACATGTTAAAAAGGTTGTCAGCTGTGAAAAAGAAAAATGGGAAAAATAAAATGATAAATAAATGTACTTAATTAAATATTATACTATTAAGATTCAATTTAAAATTTAAAACAGAAAACTTAATCTACAGTTTTATACTTGGTAAAAAAAATATAAAATCATACAAAACTTGAAAAAAACCCACAAAAGACATAAGAGATGCTTTAAATTAAATAATATTTCCATTAAGAAAGAACAATAGCTTTTATATCCAACATTTCAACTCTGGTTCACTATGATTACACAGTTTATTAAGATTTTTTTATCATTACAATAAATAGGTCACAACTATAAACAGTTCAATTTCTGCTGACCCAAATAGCCTTGTTACTTTGACCTTTACCCTTTGATATATAAAGAAAAGAATCTAAAAATAGGATACTCACTGCTATAACCCACCAGTGGTTGAGACGAAGAAGGGCATAACCTAGCAATAGGAATGTAAACCTCATTGCTGCCAACATCTGCCAGAACAAAGGGAGATAATTTAGTACAGTTATACACATTTTTGGTGCACCATTTTCATTTCTAATTAATAGGACTCTTGACATTGTCAAAATAACATATTCAATAATTCAATATTTCAATACAAATCAAACATTTCATTTGTATACATGGGCAAAAATACAGGCATTCTCAAAATTTAATACAAAGCAAATATTTTACAGGTATACATGGGCAAAAATACAGGCATTCTCAAAATTTAATACAAAGCAAATATTTTACAGGTATACATGGGCAAAAATATACACAGGCATTCCCAGAATTTAATACAAAGCAAATATTATACAGGTATACATGGGCAAAAGTATACACAGGCATGCCCAAAAGTATACACAGGCATGCCTGAGATTTAATATACAAGAACATAAGAAGATTTTGATTTCTTTTAGGTGTATCAGGATATTTTGTTTTTAAAGACAGAAATATCAAAGGAATTCACTTACAACAGTGTCAAACAAGGATGACTTTATCGTGAATCCTGCCAGCTGTTTCGTGAAAGCTTCCCATACTGACGAATCACCAATTAACTGTAAACAAAATGTGTCTCATGGATGAGATCTGATGATGAATACAACATCAAAGTTATAAAACAAAATGGGTTGATTATCATTTGATTATATGTGATGATTTATGGAAATTCTATAATAGGAAATTTCATTTGAATCTTACTGATACAAAGATTCTAATTTTAATTTTTTCTGTGTATATATAACCATAACTTACTTGTGTATAAATGACCCACAATATAAAAGTCAATATCAGGTCAAAGGTCACAAACAAGCAAAAAGTACGGCGGACAGGTGACATTGTGCCACTCTCTGGAAACCAGCCACACATACGCCTTTCTGTACGGCTCATATGTCCTACAGAACCATTGGCAGTGCTGGAATATAGATTCAAAGTATAAATTGAACAAATAACATAACCAATGTACATCTAGAGCATTAATTATCTATCGTAAGTCAAAGAATCAAACAAACATACGATAGAAAAACTTCCCTCGTATATCATAATACAAAAATGTACCTGAATGTCATAAATTGTTTGGCATCTATCACCACTGATAGATTCAACTTTATACACAATACTTGGTCCCATTCTTCTTCTTGGTTAAGACAGTGGTTTAGTTACTGTGCAGACTCACAGATTATATTGAAATACTACAGATTATACTCTGGTTGTGTAGACTCAGCAACGAAAGCAAATGCTTGACACTGCATATACTATGGTAGGTGTGCAGGTTTCTCCTGCCACATATTAATACAATGCTATGTTTGATGAATGCAAAGATCTAACTGTAGTTATGTACATTCAATAATGTTTTTACATGCTTAGCTTATTAAATGAGTATTAACCACCTTACCCTTTCCACACAGACTGGTAAACACAGTAAGCTCAAAACCAGATATTGGGCAGGATAGCTATATATATTTGTATGTGACAAGATACAATTTTTCAATATCTCTATCAATGATATTTATAAACAATATCAAATTACTATCCCTCTTAGTATTCAAATAAAGAGTAAATAAAGACAAGGTCAAATCTCAGTTTGCATGTATAAGATACTAGCAATAGCTGATTACCCCAAAATACTGTAAGTGAATCAGTGAAATGAGACCAAGACACTGCAAAACAACAAAGACTGAAAATGCATCAAAATTAACAGGAAAGAACTGGCTGGAGCAAAAGAACAGTTTCATTACTGAAAGTCCATAGTTCCAATGTTTTCCACTGGAGATTTGAATATTTGTATGTTTTCATACTTAAGATTTCTGAAAAGCTATAGCTAACCACATTTTTTGTTGACAAAAATTTCTTCCAAAACAATTCTGACTGAATGAGTCAAGCATAACATGAATATTGGTACCCCTGTCAGCGACCAAGGAGAGAAATGATTAGTGCTCATTCTTCTTTTCTGTGAAAATTCCAGCTATAAATAGACAAGGTTTTCCACTTTTTGTCACATTATTGTCGAGAGATTTTTTTTTTGTTTTTGTTTAAGTTGATAACAATAACTCTGGAAAAAAAAGTAGACAATATTTTAATAAATAGCTGAACTGTATCAGTAAATTTGATTTTATACAGCTACATTACAGTAAACATAAATAATCTGAAACTCATTGACCCATTAAAAGTTGCCCATTACCTTACAGATGATGATGAGGACAAACTGCCATAAATTGTTTGAGCTGCCGATTTAGAGGCTGCTCCACGGTTTGTACTGGTCCGAACCATGTCCTCTTCATTCTGTGTCAAATGAATGAATATAAGAGATTTTTATATCTACATATGTATATAAACACAACTTTAATGGTATATAAGTTAACATTTACCAATATTTAACATAAGTGTATATGTTTCTACAACATAAAAGTTCCCTTTATTCTTCAAATTCTGATTAATTCAAGTTGATTTTAAAACAAGAGGCCCATGGGGCCTTAACGGTCATCTGACTATAAAGACCTACATATGAAAGAGGCCAAACAGGCTTAAAATAAATTGCTCAACTTCTCTACAGCTTACATAAAAGACAATGTTGGTTCATTAAGACATTTTCTGAAAACTTGAAATCATATTCTTTAAACATGCACTACACAATTGCCATTCCTCTGCACATATTGCTTGTTGAAAAAGCAAGCTACAAGCCCAACATCAAAAACCTTGGCCTTTTGGTTATGGAGAAGAAGTTGCTTTAGCATTTCAATACATTTGACCTCCTGTGACCTTGAAAGTTTGTCCAATATCATCAACCTGGGCCTTAATGTTATTAAGAAGATGTCACTTAAAGATTTTAACATACTTGACACCAGTGACCTTGAAAGCAAGTCAAGTTCATTCAAATCAACAAACTCAGTTGTCCTAAATCCTAGCATGCTGCTTGCCCAATATCAGCAACCTGGTCTTTTTTGGTTATTGAGAAGAAGTCATTTAAAGATTTTAATATATTTGACACCTGTGATCTTGAAAGCGGGTCAAGGCAAATCATATTATGAAACTTGGTAGCCCTACATCCGAGTATGATACTTAATCAATATCAGCAACCTGGGATTATTGGTTATTGAAAAGAAGTCATTTAAATTATGAACATATTTGACCCCTGTGTTTTTTCAAGCGGATCAAGGACACTTATATTTAGTAGGGGTAGAATCAACTTTTGGAGTCTAAGAAATGATTCTCCCCTCTCGATGATGTTTCACACCAAATTTGGATGAAATCTATTCATGTATGAAGAAAGAGTACCATTTTGAACAAAATATTGTCTAACTTCCTCTTATGGGGCCCCGTTCCTAAGTCTATTGGGGTCAAATCAAAATTCTGAATTTAAGAAATGATTACCGTCACCCACTAATGCATCAAACCAGTAGATGACGACAGATGAAGCACAATAGCTATAGGTCATCTTGACTTTTTTAGTCAGATTACCTAAACATTTACCTAAGCATAACATTTAAATTGAAATTATTGAAACACTGACTTAAGAAAACAGTTTCCAATACCTTTGGTCCTAAAAACCAAAGATAAGTACATATGAACTCATATACAGATCTAATCAACCACTACCAACTCCCAGATTAAACACAGGTGTGTTATATAATGTTACATAATATAGAAAAAAACATGTGTTCAACAAACTATTTATATCAAGTTTTTATAAAATCTTATCACTTAAAGAGTATTAATGATGAGCACAGCATCACAAATTATATCTTTTGTCTACATGAAACCCCCTGCTATGGCGAATTCCTATGTACCTGTATCAGGTAACAAACTGACCCGTATATAATGAACCTATTGCTGTTTTATAACTTTTCCTGCTCCTGTAATAAGCCCACCTCTTGACTAAAGAGACATATTACATGTTGCCCCCGTCCCCCCCACTTTCCGCTACCATCCACCTATGTCTGATAACTTACCCTGATATTTTTCATATTTACGTAGTGAATGATACATGTATTTAGGGAACAGATATACCTGTAGTAGACTAATTTATTACATATCATCTGACTCCATGTATTTTCATTCTTACCCGATAATCCAGTGTCATCTTCTACATATGTACATTCAGATCCTCATTAACGAATCTCAAATTAAAAATCCACATCAGGACACAGGATACTACTTATAATCTGTTCCTAGGTTACATCCTTGTATATAATGATAATTATGGACAAGTTTTGAGAAAATACAAAAGTTTTCTACAGTTAAAAGAGGAACTGAAGGACCAGTGATGAAGTTAGATATACACATACATAAGTGTATTATATGCATTGTGATAAATTTTGCACCCGTGACTGGTGTATAATCTTGTAATCAGTAGGTATGGGAGGTCAGGTTGAAGGATCAGTATTTAACACACACCATTAAACACTTATCAGTATAGTCAACTTTAAAAATTCTAATTTTTGGACAAAATAATACAAGAAAAATTATATGTTAACAAGGGGCATATTCCTGTCCTGGTGGAAAAACTTTTTACTGGTGGTGCATCAAGGTTTGATAAATATAATTTTTCGCCGTACACGTTTGTCTTGAACTTCCATATACTTATTGCGCAATACACTGAATGATAGAAAATATGTTCTTAAAGAAAATATCTGATCACTATAGAACTGCTTTAGCAAATATTTCCATTGTCAAATGAAATTGACACATATCCAAGACAGTATATCCTGACAATTTGAACACAAACAGTTTCACAGTAAAGAAAGTTTGAGTTTCTCTCCGTAATCTGACCAAACTTTTCAGGGATTCACATGATTGATACGATTAAAGGCCACACAAACCAGTATCATCAATCTATATGGAAATATATCTATTTTTGAAAAGTTTGAACTATGGTAAAATGTTCTCTGTCTATATTTCCAATTTCACGCTTAAATAACCAGTATTTTCTTTAGAAACTGAAGAAACAATGTATATATTTTCCATGGCCTTAACATACCACAACACACTAAGTTCATCAGGTAATCGTACAATTGACTTTAAGATAAAGGGTATCATGAATCAAGTTTGTACATACAATTACACACTGATTGCAGCTTATAATACCTGGCTTGCCATACACACATCAGCTAAAAGTATTATAAACAACAGCTGTGCACTAGGTACAATTGTACATCTTGTTGGAGTCATGGTTTTGTACCAATAGGGAGATTTATTTTACCAGTGAACCAAATGTTCTTTTAGTTCAATATTAACTTGGTTCTTTTAAGATTACTTTCAATACAAAATTACAATCTTCCATGTTAATATTGAAATTTCATATACATGGGATTTTTGGTAAAAGAGATAATATCCTTTACCAAAAATTATTGGCGTAAACTTCTGTCATACCAGGAAGCATATTTCATTTGATAAACATGGTGACCAGTATAAAACTGAAAAGATGTTGCAACATAAAAATTTCCTTCATTCAAATGAATGTTCACTGTAATCATAAGATATCATTAGTCATGTGACAACAAAGAATAAATTCAAAGTTGTGTGACAGGTTTGTATCAGACAGGCACAGATTAAAGTGTGATGCCGGATCTAAAAATAACCAGTACAAGCAGAAATTCCAAACTGAGTAAATCAAATAAAATCCTGTCGCTGTGCTTTTTATACATGGTAATGTATACCATCTAGCTGGCAAAATTCCATCTTGTAATATCAACCCATCCATATCTATTGTCATGCAGAATTACCTACAAATGCATTACAATTATCCTGTTACAAGCCTTTGAATCAGCAGCCCCCTGGGCTTACTGTCCTGTAATAAGTCCACAGGCTTATTGGTCTGTAATACGCCCATCCACTGTCATTGAGATAGAAGCATTATGATGGATACCTGGGCTTACTGTCCTGTAATAAGTCCACAGGCTTATTGGTCTGTAATACGCCCATCCACTGTCAATGAGATAGAAGCATTATGATGGATCCCTGGGCTTACTGTCCTGTAATAAGACCATGGGCTTATTGGTCTGTAACAAGCTCATCCATTGTCATTGAGATAGAAGAATTATGATGGATCCCTGGGCTTACTGTCCTATAATAAGCCTACCTCCTTTCATTGATTTAGAAGTTATATGATGGATCCCTGGGCTTACTGTCCTGTAATAAGCCCATCAATGGCTTTGAATTGTGTTGGGCCTCTGTATGACACTCCAAGTTTGAATATATTATATGATATATCATGTGATGGATGACTTTGACCAATTACAGGTTCTTCATCTGGTATTTATCAAGGTCTACAGACTAATGAAATATGGTAATGCAATCATACTACAGGTCACAGCATACCAACATTTGATTTTGATATCTCTATAATTAACAGAAGTCAAGAATTCAATCACATGACTGTCGGTATCTCAATGTCTGCAACTAATAAATGTACACTATGTTAGCCTTCAATTTTGTCATGAAATGTTCCAAACTTGGTAGCAAAATACTGTGTGTACAAATATTGCCAACAAAAGCCCTGGATTATGAAGATATACATGTACATTAGATAAGAGTTTAAGTAAGAAAATCTTATTATAAATACTCATCTAATTAAGCAAGCAAATAAAAAAAATTAAGATTTACAAGCAGCAGAGTTTTACAATGATGCCAAGAAGCCTACCTGATATGATCTCTCCCTGACATGTGTTAAATGAGACAGGTTTTATTCTATTTGAAAACAAGTTCAAAACCAAAGCAAATAAGAAAAGAAAAAAGTTTTGGACCATTGATAAATTGTGAGAATTACATGTCTTTCCTTTTCTAATTACATGTAAATTTCATAAATCATAACAAAATGTTTTACAGATCAATTCTGGTCTTTTAGGAATGCTCAAATTTTGAACAACTGTTTAGAATTGATGAAACTGACAAGTGAATTTGTTGTAAAATTTATAAATATAAGTATATTTAGTACCCATAATTGATGTTGAAGAACCTCCAGTGTTCCCCCTAGGGGAACCAGATATAAAATTAAGCAAAATACAATTTTTGCTATCAATTTTAGTTATAAATGTGTGTATCAAACATTCTGTCTATCTACAGAGCTAATAATAAAGAGCTTGAAAATGATACTCTAGTTACCTCAATGTCTACCTCTGTATGTCTAGTTACCTCAGTGTCTACCTCTGTAAGTTTACCATGACGCTGTTCAAACAGAAATCACAGCAATTTATACATTCTATATTTGTCTGGTTGGTAATAAGCCCATGTTTGTTAATAAGCCCACACATACATATTGTTATCCCATAGAATCCTGTCTTAATCCTTTTGTCTGATTTTGACTCTGATGTAATATTGGCCCACTGGGATTAATACAAGATAAATATGATATGAATAAAAAATATAATTTTTTTTTATTATTGATTATGTTTATTACAGAGATGTCATTCAACTGTCCTGATCCCTGAGCTGTTAAGTTTGTTGTTCCTTCCTTTTCTTGTTTATCGCCCCAAGAATTACCAGGATCATTTTGAGCTCAGTCTCTAGCAAGTAGTAGCTGATGACCACTTTATTTGTGTAGCATATGGGTGGTCCATTATATGCCATCTAGAGCATTAAAGTTAAATTCTCCTTCCCTAGGACCATGACCACAAAACCTCAAACAATGTACCTTGGATCTTCAGATAAGGTTACGCAAGTCAATTGAACTGTTCTTTGTAACCAACTGAGCTACTAGATATATTCAATATCTAGAAACTATCTTGCTAAAACTTAAGACCTTAATAAAACTTAATCATACTATCACATTTTACCTTCAGTTGATAAAACTGATATCAGGAGATATGAACAAACATATAGATAAATGCAGGGTATACTTTAATGATGGGAAATCCGTTAAAATCCAAAATTGATTATCAGTTAAAATTAGGAAAACTTTTCCATGAAATTAATTGATTACGTAATTGAAAGAATAAGTGTTCAGTATTTAAAGAAAGTGAATGCATTCTCCAAAGTATTTCAATTTTTTGTAACTATAATCTAAAATGCCTCACTTACCTAGAATTTGCATAAGAATGACTATTATTGGCAATTGTCATCTTTATCATGCATAATAAGAATTTTTTTTAATGCTAAAACACAAGAAATTATGAAAGATGCTGATGATCACAATTATGAAAAAATACAATTGATTATCACACCAAATAAGGTTAAACAATTACATAATTGATTATACATGATTGTTGTTCCATGATATATTGCATAAATAGCCCTTGATATTTGTATGTAAGATATATAAATATACTGTGTCACAAAAACGGAATTTAAAACGTTTACAATATCCAATTAGTATTACATACAGATAGAAAAACAGTTACATTAATCCAGTTATTAGCTCTTCATTAACATGTTGGAGGAACATGGATGAATATATGTCAGACTATTAACTTAGTTATCTGGTCTCTGTGTATGAAACTTCCACATATACACTGTTCAAGCATGTGTATGATACAGCACATGATCTTTGAAATTGTTTGGAATTTGATACTTATTCACAAAATGACCAGAAAAAACTTGATCCAAATTTTAATCACACAGAAGTAAAACATCAGGTGACAGAAAAGTAACAGTGTATTGACATTGTACTGGGTGTATATACCAGATATGTACCAGGTACACAAAATTACACTGCATACCATGTTCTCAGCATCATCTAGCAGCTGTGTTGACCTTACATATATATGGAGTTATCAGATCTGGATGAGAAAAATAAAAGATCACTTACATATTTGTGCATCAGCTAATTAGTCTCAGTTATACAATTGCACATGGAAATGACATTTAAATCCCAAAATGACTTTACAGATTCATAATCCTTTCTACACACGTCATCAACCATCATCATGTATATGGAGAAAGCACTGACAGAATTTTGCTGATACTGACAATGATAAGTATTGATATATCTGATAAAACACCTTATGTGCTCTAGTTACAAGCCATGTACCTATGTGTTATCTGATTGAAATACACAATAATATCGTATCCACTTCTACATATTACGCAATCAGTGTCGTTTTTATTTTTCTATGCTATAAATATATAAAATGAATCAATCAAATACTTCTTATAAGGGAGACCAGGATTGTTCAGTCATGCTGTACTTGTCTACTAACTTATCTTCCCTTCCTGTGAAACTTAGGAGTCAGATGTCTAAGAGATAGGAACTATTCAACTTTATATTTTATTATTTTTAATGTAATTTAAATAATCCAGAGATCAGGAAAGTCTAAAAGAAGTACATGTTCAGAGCTATTATTTTGTCTAGGAAGTATATCCTACAGCTAATAGCTGTACAGCCCTCAGGTATATATCAGAACAGGAAGAAAATACTTTATTGTCCTCGGGCCTTTATATCAGTCTTTATTATTCACCTGGCCTATAGATGCAGAATCTATGTGTGTTTGTTGTCTAAAATATTACACATACTCTGTCAAACTTTATCCAAAGACTTGAATATGGAAGCAAACAGCAGGAACCTGACTTTGGTGAACATCAAAGACCTCAAAACATATTTTTAATATTCTTAACTTGAGACTATTGTTGTGATAATGGATGAATGTTAGTCTAGATCTGAACACACAAAATAGAACATGAACACACGGCACGCGAGCACCTGTTTCAGAGATAACGATTGGAGTTGTGAATACTTAAGTTCAACCGTTTCGTTTATCTTACCATGTTTATCGACATATTCGGTCGTTGAAACCATTGGACCCAAACAGACCCTCTGTTACCCTTTGACCACTTCGGAGAGATTAGTCTTCAGCTGATCTGATCACGCCATTTTGATCATGGGAGATCATGTGACACAAAACAGAAAAAGGTTCACGCCTATTATGTACAGTGCTCTATCAAGAAGCAAATATATAAAATGATAACGACAGTACTTACACAGGCTTTCAATCGAAGTGGCGCCATATTTCGAAAATAAAGCCTACGTATTTAGACCAATAACTCATGTAGATCGAATTCACATCACGAAATTCGTTGTTTTGTAGCTTGAAGCAGGGACGTACAATACAGTATTTTTATATGTCCCTGCCATCTGTAAGCTTTGCTTTAGCCTATTTGTATTTGCAAAATATCAATGCGTCCATGGACTTTGTTGTCTTTCCCGTGGACTCTTGATAAAAAAAATACAGGCATGTGGACTTGACTGTTCATCAGTTGATGTCGACCCAATCGACTTATCTTGGTCCCAAAGCTACTGACCGGGAGTTGTTGACAAAGAGGGTGCCACATGGGTGAATTGTAGGCAAATTTTTTCAAACATTTTGGTATCTTTCATTACATTGAAAGATACAACTTGTACAATTATGTAGATACTAACACTCTCATTTTTAAGCAATGACGATGTCAGCCTGTTTAATACACTGCGAAAAGAGAGTCAGAACTCAGTAAATTGGCTTAATTGTCATGGATGCAGGCGAATCCATATAAATTTCTAGCAATAGGTTAAGACAAGAAAACAAATCAAATAATTTCTTCTTTCAATATTGGCTATCACAAACCTAAATGTGAAAGTTCTGATAAACCTCTGGGTGTGGACATCAGCTCTGATCTGAATTTTGATTTACAAATATCAAAGATATGCTGCATAGCTTCCAGGCAACTTTACACCCTAAAACCAATTGGCTATACCAATAAGTGCAAAATTTGTTGATCTAGTTGTCTGATACTGCTGGAATTGCGAAGACTGTCATCATACCCCTTCCCCAGATATTTGAAAGGGTTGCCAACTATCGATGGTATGTCTCTCCTTGTACTGTCAGATAGAACTGTATGGTTATCTTTCTCTTCCTGATGATGAGGCAATGACTTCTGTGGTTTGAAATGCATCCTTGCCCATGTTGCAGTCTCCCTCCAAAGCAGTCAGGACCCACCACGCTTAGACATGAGTTCTTGTCATGATGGTCACATCGTCCATAAAACCTCTGCTCGGTGGTTGTCAGATGCTGGTATTTGTCTTCAGGTCTCTGTTCTCCCTCTCTCCTGCCTTTATCAGCATGTTCATCCCCATTACGAAGAGGATGACTGATATAGTGCAGTCAGTCACCATTCTCTTCTCTTATATCTGCCAAGAAGTCGTGAAGTCTGCAACTGAGAATCTTAATTGTATGGCGCTGCAGTAGCTGCTGATCATTCTCTGTATATAGTGGTACGTGGTAATATTTCAATGCCTCCTCTGTCAGTTTGTGGGGAACTCTTCCATTCACATTTGCCAGGTCTAACCAGACGAGAGTGAAATATCCTCAATTCAACCCTTGTTTTTCCTATGAGTTGGCTGTTGATGCTAGTATGTTCAATGCACCCACAAAAACCTGGGCTTCCTCCCTTTTGGACTGATGTGTCCACATTCAGGCTGACTGTCATGAATGTTGTTAAACGGCATGACAACACTGAGAAGCATATTTTTCCTTCCACATTCAATAGAGATATTGTTCGGAATTGCCCAATCTCCTTGGGGTTTCATCTTTCGTCCATCCCCTGTCTTCCAACACTCAGGATTGACTCATTTCCTCCAGGTAACTCTCAACCATAACCACATCCATCTCAGTAACTTTGGACACTTCTAATATACCTTGTATGGTATTCCAATAGGGCTAGGTGCTGATGATGTTCTCACTTTCTTGACCACAGACTGAACTTCTTTCCATAACATGTTTCTTTTCAGTGTTGGAATGTCCTATATTCTCTCACATGCAAGTTTTCCCAATTTTTCCCCATCTAGAACTGTGCTTGTAAACTGATACGGGTTAGCGACAAACGTAGCTCTCTTCTTTCACCTATCCCTCCGCACTTTTCATATTCTCTCTGCTTTCCTCAACCCTTTGAGTCTTTCCCTCATCCCCTCTCTCAGTTGACTCAGACAAAGCTTCCCTAACGTTCCTGCTCTCTTGAACTGCGTCGTCAGCTCTTGCAGATCCTTCCTGATTGCCTGTATCTCTTTCTCTCTCTTGTTTTTGTACTTCTCTACTGGTTGTTTTTATCTTCCTCTCAAACGTACCATATCTCTCCTTCCCGATACAATGTACGATAGCTGTGCTGTTATTTTCCTCCCAGCATTCCTGATCAAGCCCGCTTCCAGAATTTTGTCAATGTTGCTGTCAACTGCATCCCATGCCTTGTCTCTCATTGCTGGCCACTATACTCTCTCCTGTTCTTGTTGGATGAGTACATCTTGAGAATCTGACTTGTCCTGATTTCCAGAGTGCTGACTGTCTATCTGTGTTGACTCGGAGAGTAAGAGGTCCTCAATGCTGAGGTGCGGTTCCTGACTATTATCCTCCTGTGTCTCACCGGACTGTTTCATCACAGGTTTACACTTGGTACCTGCCTGGTGTATCCTGACTCCCCTAATATTCTTGCAGACCTTCCCACAATGGCATCTGGTCTCTTTCACTGTTCCGTTCAATGTTAACTTACGTTACCTTAGCTTACTGCCTATTTAATTCCTTGTAAAAATTTTATACTGCCATATGTAAAATGCTCTTTTATAAATGTTGCGTTGTTTTAGGTTATGCTATATTAGTGTGATCATGTCAAATTGTACATTAGACACATATCTTTAAATATATCATTTATATGCTGCATGACCTTTACATAAATGTGCTAGTTTACTGTTTATTCAGCTATCTGTTATGCATGATCCCATTGTGATATTTTGTTAAGTGTTGCACTGATGTTAACAGTAGTAAGAATAGCTCTACTGAGCTAAAGTTACCTGTTCATAACATGACTTAAAATAAAAGTTTTTATATCTTATAAAGACTGACTTTTACCAGGACTGTGGGCACCAGTATATTTGCATATTTTCATTAATATATTCTGGAAATATTGATTTAGATCAAGCTCAACTTTACATCAGTAATTGAAGTGAAGGAATAGGAGAGATCAAGAACAGCCAGATTGCAAATAAATATTTTTAGGTTTTGAGGAATTAGATGATTCTCACGATGTATCCATCCATAAAAAATTTTACAGAATTTTCAGATATTAATCAGTTTGAGCATATTTATTGGCAACCTTAGAATGAGGGACGAGACACAAGTTATTACAACTTTACAACTTCTCCCGATATACATTTACATATGGAAAATAATCACTATCATGGAAACATGCATATATTTACAATGATTGTTACTATTAAAATAAAAATCTGTCACTAGGCTTAATGATGGACTTCACATGTCTGAAGATATTTGAATTACACGGCCTATGGTACGAAGACAATTCCTGAACAAAAATTAAAAATGACTAGAATATCTTTACACATTCACCTGGTGTGTGGATTGCTGTCACTGAATAATGTAAACAAAAAACAGACTACATCATGTAATGTAAATAAACAATAACAACAAACAAGAGATTTCAGACAGATCTTTATATGCTCTTTGAAAGTTGGATCTTTTCCCTTCTTGTCTCTTCTCTGTTTTTGCTCTTAATGATAAGACATTAGAACATTTCTTTGCAGAAGTAGTGATGGTTATCTTTATCAGCCAAATCCAAAATGGCCACCTGGAAGCCATTTTGTTTCTTCTGATCAGTCCCAAAAGCAAATGAGCATAAGGAAAGACCAAAGGGAACATACTTATGAAATTTGAGAGATATCCATTCAGTACTTCTTACTATGCAAATTCCAAGATGGCTGTCTGTCAGTCGTTCTGTTTTTCTGATCAGTTCCAAAATTAGATGGGCACAACTAGGCACCAAAAGGATCTATACAGTAGTTCTCAAGAACTAGCAATAACAAAATCGCAAAGTCAAATCCAAGAGATCCATCCCTTACTTTTCAAGAAATAGCGATAACAAATTTCACTGAAAAAAATCCAAGATGGCTGCCTGTCCGCCATTTTATTTCTTTGATCAGTTCCAAAATCAAATGGGCACAACTAGAGATCAAGGGGAACCTACATATGCAATTTGAGAAAGATCCATCCCGTACTTCTCAAGAAATAGTGATAAAAATTGTTTACGGATGACGGACCATGAACACAGAGCAATTTGAATAACCCATCATCTGATGATGGTAGGCTAATAAAAAACTAATTTATCAGGGTTATATATTTACACATTTCTGATGGAATGTGATGGCCCACTTGTGAATGAATTTTGAATGACTGAAAATAGTGCAAGTTAGCTGTCAATGACGTCACTTCATTTCAACCCCGCCTACTATGTATAGTGATTTGTTATTGTTGTTTGCTAGGGTAATCCTTCATCAGGTTATCAAATTTATACATTTATGTGTTGTTTTTGGAAGCTATTTAAAACATTAATTATAAGCTTTGATATCTTTTACATTCATACCTGCATTAAAATAAAAAATATGACATTCAAAGCTTAATTGTATCCAAATTGAACACAACTTTTGAAAATAGAGAAAATTTAGATCAAAATTTTCCTTTAATTGGTATTAAGATGACACCATAAAAGCAGTGAAAGATGTTATCACCCGGTAAACCACAAGTACAGAAGCATCAATTACTTGTACAGATTTAGATATTGAATATCCTCGGTCTGATTAACAAAAGTTTATAGGCAATAAAAACTATGTGAAAAGGATGTTATTCATGAAACTTTTAACAGATTTGGTTCATATTCTCAGCAGTATCATTAAAAAGTTTTATGCCTGATCAAACTCTGGTAGTCATCTATCTGGATTAAACAGTGATAACTGACACCCTGACAATAAAAAACTTGCACATAAGATTGTAAAGATATTGGTTTGAATAGGGAGCATTGACATATCTATGAGCTCTATAATTATTGGACTTAATGAAGTGTAATTCTAATGGTTTTGGTGTGATTATCTTAGCACTGTTGCTCTTTGACAATACATATGGTGACATTCCATGGTCCATATACTGATCAAGTGTCATACAGATTTGGGGCCTGAAGGTCAGCTCTCCAAGATTTACCATATTACTTGGTGCTGCATGCAGTGTCCATATGGCACCAATTCTTTCCTTAAAACGACTTCTCAGTAATCAAATGTTAGCCTCAAATTCCTGAGATGATGCTAAACAAAATTTGGGAAAAGGTATGACCTTGGCATGTATTTTGAGTCACGGGGATCACACTTGTCAAAATGCTTTAACAATTTCTGATGATAAAAGTCCTTGAGTCATGGTATTTGTTGGCAATGCTCTTGTTAAAAAGACCTTCCCCCATACTCAAGGTCACCGCAGTCAAATTAGTTAAATCACTCAAACAACTTCAGTTAACGAAGACCAAGTATGATGATATTTGGCCTTCTGAGCCCTGGGAAAAGCCTTACAAATTTTGCAAATGAATAACCATGACTCAATTCCAATGTTGTAGGAGCGACATTAATGTAAATGCTTAAACCTAGAATTATGATATGTGTTTTAAAGATTCCTAGGAAATGACCTTGACTGGAGGTAAAATTAATGAAAAAGCTCAGACAATCACTTAGGTTTAACCAAAACACCTAGAATCAAGTTATCTAAAAATGAAAAATTAAACTTTATTACTTAACAATTGCAAAACAAGTTTTTTCCAATCCACATTAATCACTCTTGTTGGCCTGTATTCTGAGTCACGGGGATCACACTTGTTAAAACGCTGTAACAATTTCTGATGATAAAAGTCCTAGAATCATGGTATTTGTTGGCAACACTCTTGTTAAAATGACCTTCCCCCATACTCAAGGTCACCGCAGTAAAATTTTATAACAATTATACCAGTTTTTTCCATATTAATCACTCTTGTTGGCCTGGACTGAAGTGTGCGAGGGGTCTTACTGTGGAAGTAAACAAGAGTACTTGGGGAAAACCCACATGGTAGTGCAGGCGACCCCATACCTTATCACGTCTGTTCAGATTGATTAAAGGCCTATATTCAAGGTCATGGTGATCTAATTAGTTAAAAGGCTCAAACATACTTCTGATGACTTATTCAAGGTCATAAAGTTGAACTTGTTAAAATTCTCATATGACTTTTCTGATTAACTGAAATACCTGTTTTTATTGCAACATTGTAGTTGGTTCCTGAGCAAGAGCCAATGATTGTCTGTTTTGCTAAATGTAATGACCTTGACTTGTATCTGAGGTAACAGAAATAGAATTAGTAAGACACTTGAATAATATGCCTGTAACTCATTTAAATTTACTGAAGTTATCTGCAACAGGTTACATCAGTTGTTGATAAATGTTCACTTAGCAGTGTAAAAATGCCAGTTTCAAATTCTGTCAATAAATGTGATATAGATACACCTTGCTGAATGTCAAGGACACTTGTATTTGTGAAAAAAACATCGGTCATGAATACCAGGTCAGCCATGCAAGTCGATTGGGTCTATTGTTTTTAAGCAGTCTGTTTACATCTTGTGAAATGTTAATCAGTTATTTATTCCTTTGGACAGATTCAGTTAAGATGGCATCACATGATACCAAGTCATGTAAACAATGATTTCAAGTAAAATATTTTCAGCAAAAAATCTCGTAATGGCTGTCAGTACTTTCAGTACTTTTGATTTTTATATGTACCTGGTATTCAATTTATTTACTGATATGGTAACAACAAGGTTGTTCTAAAATAAAGGGTACCTCTACAGCTGTACAGGTAAAAACTATAGGTAACCTTGGGCTGTAAAGTCTCTGGGCTTTAACACCAGAAGGCCAATTGACTCTACCCATTCCATATTTGGATTTTTTTTCACATTACCCGTGTGGACCTTAGTTTATCTGTGGTTTATTTCTTGTGAACTAGCAGTCTTATCCTCATCCACTACTAGCGCACTGAGAGGTATAAAGATTTGTATTAAAAGGTACTATTCACTTATGTGTCTTTTGTATAATCTTTAAATGATCAAGCAACATTATCCAACACTTTACAACTAGGATGAGTAATTTGAGCAATTGAGAACCCAACATGCTTTGTTTAAGTCTTATAATTGTGTGACAAACTTACTTATAGAACTGCCCATCAGTTAAAAGAATTCTTATTTGAGCCCTATTGTAAATACCTGGCTTCATCTGTACACATAAAATATATCAAATAATGTTTTGAGCTACATTACCAACTATATAATGCAGTACATTTACTACTACTCTTCTATACAAGTGTTGCTTAGGTCTATGTACTTGTCCTTTGTCATACCATGGTCGACGGCCAGCTAGAAATCTATGACATACCAATAATGATACAGATGGAATATAAACAGAGGTCATATTTATTTTTTTGCCTTTTTAAGTCCAGATGTATATCCCACATTCCTTCTATTTGGCATATATATATATGGACATCCGTTTAAGGACAAAATCCAAAACCAACAAAGTGTTCAAGGAAAGTCAATGAAGACAATTTTTTTCTTTATTATGTGCATTTTTTACCTGACTATGACTGAGTTAAAGATTCCCCAGTGTGCTATATTTAGAAAGTCTGATCTTATATTGGTCATGGGTATTCCACCTATTCCATTTGTCCAAAGTGACATTCGGGAAAAACAGTAGTTATTTAGTCATCAGAAAGTGTTCTAAAAAGGCACAAAACAACCAGAATCTTTTCATCTTGTGCAGTAATGTTCCATATTTAGTTCACAAACATTTTCATTGTCTATTTGTGAGCTGTACACACATATTTTTCATGAATAAGAACAAACAGAAATGTCATGTATGTAGCATATAATCTTTATTGTTCTGTTGTCTCTGTGGACACAAAATAGTTGAATAATATTGAAGCAATGATATCACAATTACTTTGCTTCAACTTAATGTATTGGGATATTTGCATTAAAATATACAAGGTTTTATAATACACAACATAGTAAGCAATAAGAAGCCGGATTAACTTTGATGTCACCCACCTGTTATTCATGTAGCTTCTGCAAACTCTACCTCAGAGCTAGCTGGATTGGCTTAATATCATTACACTACAATTTGGCATTTGTTCTGTTCTATATACCTTGTTAATCTCTGAGGTTATTTTTCACAGTTTAAATACATATGACCATTTCGATCATAAACTTTATACTATCACATACTGGCAACCTGCAGTCTGAAATTAAGTCCCTCAAGTAAACAACAAACAGTTTTTCAATATATATATTACGGAAACTGTTTGTTGTATTTAAATTAGAAAATCCTATCATAACCAGAGTTTTGGCCATTACAATATCTGGAAGACGGGTACAAAATTTTAAGACCATTGTTTTATGTTCTTGCTAAGTCTATATATCTACAAAAAATTACATGTTTCTCATCACAAATGTCAACAAAATTTGGTTTCTGTAGTACTGAGAAATTGATGTGTATGTCATGTTGATGTGTATACCAGCATGTCACTCAACAATCTGACCAGTGACTTTGAATGTTGGTCAAGGTAATAAGATTTGAACACACATGGTAATTTTGCATTCCACCCTGTTTTCACCCAATCAGTATGTCTGCCTTTCTTTATCATATTGATTCTTGGTCCATCAATATCTATACAGAGAATCTAGGTAGAGAAATTCTATATACTCGATACATTTAACAAGTAACAGTTGTGTAATAGAATACACGTCACTGTCCTGATTGAATATTAAAGGTAAAGTTCAGCACCACAAGTCGATCTGTTTGCTCACAATATATCATGGTCCTGGGTTTGTTCACTATATCTTAAGCAAAGATTATTAAAACATCTATCATATTTGCTAGCTACGACCTGGAAAATGACCTTAGATTCTTAAAGTGACCGCCTTATTAAGGAGGCCACTGGCATAATGACATTGTTTTGTGTTGTTCATGAATTGTAAAAATATGTATAAAAAAAGTAGAAAGATACCAAACAAAGGATGCTGCACCATAGCATAATCACTGACTCTTCAGACCCACAGGTGAGATAAAATCCTGTACATAGTAACCTTATTACCATGGCAACCACAATTTCAATTTAAAAAATACCTGGGCTTGCACATCTATATATGATCTGTAACATTCTTGTGTAGTTTCATTGAAACTGATTCTCAAGTTTAGGAGTTTTCTGCACAAGAGCTGTGGATGACAGACATGCAGACAACCGCATATCCAGGGTCATTCCAGTCTAATATAAACCAGTCTTCCCCTCACAACTAGGAACCACAGGGAACTTACAGTTGAAATTTGATAATGATCCATTATGTATTTCTCCAGAAATATCAAAAACAAACAAAATTGAAGATGGATATGCGTTGGCTATTTTATGTTTTAGTTGTAAAATGAAGAGTGCACAACCAAGGGGTACCTACATAGGAACTCTGAGAATAATTTAAGCTACCTCTCTCCAGAAATAGTGATAAATTATAACTGTCATAATGCTAAAAAGCCCTCAGTTGGCATTCAACGAGTTGTTTATGGACAGAGAGACCAAAAGTAAGAGAGACCATAGACAAAAAGCATTTGAATACAAGAGGTCTGAATGGTAATCTGACTATAAAGAGTAAACCATTAGTCAGTTTAGATAGGCGGGTAGTTCCATACATGTGATCCTTTCAATAAAAACAAGAATTTTCTATCCTGAGATAGTTTTAAGCCCTTTCCTATAGTTTGAACTGATCGAACATATTGTACATATTCCTAACTATTAACACTCCATAGATTTATTGGCCTTGCAATAATCATTACATGTGGTTTTGTGCATTTCATGATGGCGACCTTATTGGATTACGGATCAACCCAAAAAATAACAACACTTCATCACGATCATCCAAGGATTATTTCAGGCAAGTCAGCTCAATTGCACTGGTGGTACCTTAGAAAATTTTTGAAATAAGTGTTGTTCAGTGTTGCACAATCATGCAACAAAATGCATGTCGTGGCTGCCATATTGAACTTTTAATGAGACTGAAAAATAGCAACACTTTGTGAGTTTCCCTTTCTTAACATTGCCGCTAGTTTTCAGCTCAATAGCACAAGTCGAACTTCAGAACTTTAAAATGTTTTTCACAATTGCACATGTATTGGATTTGGGACTGACATGAGATATAACACTTGGTAAGGATCATCTCAAGATAATTTCAGAAAAGTTTCAGCTCAATTCCACTGATGGAACATGAGGATGGTTTATGCCACACAACACAACAGCTACATGACATACTGACCACGTCAGATGACCTAATAAGAAATGCTGTGGTGAAGCATTGATTGGAAAACTTAAATAGGACATACCTACCAGGACACTAAAGTAGGACAATGCTATACCAACATTTAAGTAGGACGCTCCTACACAGACATCAAGATTAGGACACTCCTATATGGATATTTAAATAGGACACTCCCACAGGGACACAGAAGTAGGATACACTAAATCAGGACACTCCCACATGGACACTGAAGTAGGAATCTCCTACATGGACACCAATAAGACTACATAATTCTAGCCCCTCATTTCTTGTCTGCTTTATAAAGAAAAGGATGAGTAAGGTTTACATTTATTTCCCATACTGGTCAAGGCATGACATCTATTCCATTCAATAACAACAACGTTTCAGACTTCTGTACTGGAGACCAGACTGAATGTGAAAGAAAATGAAGATTCAGACTTTTGCACTTGAGACCAGACTGAATGTAAAAGAAAATGAAGATTCAGACTTTTGTACTGGAGACCAGACTGAATGTAAAAGAAAATGAAGATTCAGACTTTTGTACTGGTGACCAGACTGAATGTGAAAGAAAATGAAGATTCAGACTTTTGTACTGGAGACCAGACTGAATGTGAAAGAAAATGAAGATTCAGACTTTTGTACTGGAGACCAGACTGAATGTGAAAGAAAATGAAGATTCAGACTTTTGTACTGGAGACCAGACTGAATGTGAAAGAAAATGAAGATTCAGACTTTTGCACTTGAGACCAGACTGAATGTGAAAGAAAATGAAGATTCAGACTTTTGTACTGGTGACCAGACTGAATGTGAAAGAAAATGAAGATTCAGACTTTTGTACTGGAGACCAGACTGAATGTGAAAGAAAATGAAGATTCAGACTTTTGTACTGGAGACCAGACTGAATGTGAAAGAAAATGAAGATTCAGACTTTTGTACTGGAGACCAGACTGAATGTGAAAGAAAATGAAGATTCAGACTTTTGCACTTGAGACCAGACTGAATGTGAAAGAAAATGAAGATTCAGACTTTTGCACTTGAGACCAGACTGAATGTGAAAGAAAATGAAGATTCAGACTTTTGTACTGGAGACCAGACTGAATGAAAAAAAAAAAAAATGAAGATTCAGACTTTTGTACTGGAGACCAGACTGAATGTAAAAAAAAAAAAAAAATGAAGATTCAGACTTCTGTACTGGAGACCAGACTGAATGAAAAAGAAAACGAAGATTCAGACTTTTGTACTGGAGACCAGACTGAATGAAAAAAAAATGAAGATTCAGACTTTTGTACTGGAGACCAGACTGAATGAAAAAAAAATGAAGATTCAGACTTTTGTACTGGAGACCAGACTGAATGTGAAAAAGAAAAATGAAGATTCAGACTTCTGTACTGGTGACCAGACTGAATGAAAAAAAAATGAAGATTCAGACTTCTGTACTGGAGACCAGACTGAATGAAAAAAAAATGAAGATTCAGACTTCTGTACTGGAGACCAGACTGAATGTGGAAGAAAATGAAGATTCAGACTATATTTCTAGAGACTAGCCTGAATGTACAAGAAAACTTTGCTATCATTATCTGAACACTAGAGAGATAATTAGTGAATCTGATTTGAACACTTATAAAGGATAGACAGACTGAATCATGAATTTCCATCAGTACAAAGACTAGGCAGACTCGAAACTTATTTTGTTGCCAAAGTATTTTTCAATATACAGTTACACTTGTACACCAACACACAACCACAGTGTAGCTATGTTGATTGACTTATCAACAATACATCCTTTATCATGACAACAACCATATCTTTAGCCAAAATCCAGAGATCAATTTTCATAGCAAATGTTAAAAATGAAATAAGTGTGTTGTTAAATACAACATATACACCTCATTTCCAGACTCGACTCAATCCATGTACTGACACATCATATCCTGTATACTGACATGCCAATAAAACGTTGACATGTAAATGAAATTTCTTGGAATTTTACTCCCATGAACAAATACATATAATTGTTTTAGCACTAGATCACATCTCTGTATTAAGCACCAATAGGTTCCATATGATGACACTTAAAGTGCTGTTTCTTCATGCCTCCGCCCAGCCACACACATGTCCATCTGCTCACTACTACTGTGTCCTGTACCTTCGTATTTTGCCTGTTCCCGACACTCATCTCTCACCCTCATAAGCAGTCTCTGAAGCTCTCTGTTATTGGGAGCTAGTCGTGTTGCTTCCTTCAGATCCTCTAGGGCTGAGGCACATTGCCTATTGTCACGTTTGGCCCTTGCACGTGCATAGTAGGCCTCAAAACACTTGGGCTTTAATTCCAGTGCCTTAGTAGCCAGGTCTACAGCAGCGTCACATTCCTGTAAAGAATAAAGTTTCTTGTGATGCATAAAACTACAGAAAATATCTCTGGTGTTCAAAAGATTTTTTAACTGAATATATCTGTTCACTATAATGGAAGTTTTGATATATGTTAAATGTCACAACAGATAGAAACATTCAAACAACAATGGGGTGTAATTCGAATCAAGGCAATTAAGGATGAAATGAAAGTCTTGTAGAAGAGAAGCATCAACAACGATTGATTTCTATCAAATATTACAGCTAATGACTTTTAAGTTTTAGATGAGAATTTACAAAGAACACTTCCTTAAGGAAGATTTAAAAGAAAATGGCTGTAATGAAAGATTGAATCAAATTTACAAAAATTTGGTTCCTGTTACTTGAGGTAAAATGGTAAATTTTCTCAAATTCTGATTTTTTGTAGTCCATAATATTGTTCCAAAATAACTAGTTTTTCTGCTAGACCTTTAAATCTTAAGGGTACACATACAGCATTTTAGAGGTTTGACTGAAAAAAAAGTTATGCCCTTCAAATCACACTGTCATCATGTCATCATGAGGTAATTAATACCTTCCACAAATGCAGACTGGGTCTTCTTTGGTTAGAATGGTTACCATAGGAAAAACAATGTTTTAGAAAATAGTACCATGTATCTGCCATCCCATTATATCAATTTTCAGTTTAATCGGACAACACAAATCACAATTTTGGCCAATCAGGAGCTTCTATACTATTTCCATAGTAATAGCTTTGGTAACATCTGATACGTCAAATTATAGGATTTGATAAGTTACACAATTCATGCAAGTTTGAATAGATTTATTTTAAAGACTTGTGAGCTATGAGTCATTACACAAATACTTATGTATAGAGATGCAGTTAATACCAAAGCAATAAAAATGTTCAAAACCCTACATTCCTATCTACATATGGCCTATACTATCCCTGTATACTTTAACTGAAATAGGTTTCCAGGTTTAGGAGAACTCCGACAACATCCCTCAATCATGTCATATTTGGCAGCCAAGTGAAAGCATATGTTTTTGAAAATATTACAATTGTAATTACAGTTCTTCAAAACTTATATTATTCATTTTCAGCATAATCAGACAATATCTCATTTTCAACAAATCAGAAGCCTCCATTATGTTTATATAGTAACAGTTCTGAAAACACCTGCTGTGACAAATTCTTGGGTTTGATAAGTTAGGCCTTTTGACCAAGTTTCATGTAAATTGATCTCAAGACTGATGGGCTATGGGCCATTACAAACAAAACTTTGTATAGTAACCAGCTAATTACCATGACAACAAAATTCCTGTTTCATAACCTGCATTATTTAGGAAAAGTTTTCCAGAGATGATTTGCAAACAACAAGCATAGAGACATCAAGTCAGTATGATTCTAGTGTGCATCCCATGCCCAACTTTATTGCAGGGCTAAAAACTAAACTATCAATATTTTGAGGTTTGTCTATATTCACTCACATTCAGTTTCCGTTTACATCGAGAAAGGTTGAGGAGCAGGTTGAGTTTGAGTTCTTTAAATGTGTGTGTATCTTCTCTAATATCATCTCGTGGAAACTTTTTGATTGCATACTGGTAGCGTTGGGCAGCATCCCTAATGCGACTTTTCTTGTACAACACATTCCCATCCTCCATGAGTTTGTTGAGTAATAGTAGCATCATATCTGACTTGCCTGATGCCACTGCCCAAGTGGTCTGACCTGTAACCAGAAAATAAACATATTTTGGAACATTTTCTACTGGTTGGTACATTGACCAAATTTTTTGGCTGTACTATAATCCTATGATAGACATCAAGCAAAACCAGGCTGTATAGCTAACTATATGTAGTTTAGCTCAACATCAAACAAAACCATGTAATAGAGCTAACTATTTATAGTTTGGCTCTGCATCAAACAACTAAACAAGGGCCGTTGGAGATGACTTGTGCTCCCTGAATGCCATAAAATTTAAGAATGAAAAATAATCAAAAGGCAATAATTCCAAAATAATGCAAAGAGAATTATGGTTCTTGTACAGTGCACTTCTCCGCATGAAGATCGATCTACCTATGAAGTTAAATGTTTATACTTCTTACAGTTTTTGTGTTACGCTCTGGACAAAAATTATGACGGACAGACAAAGCAGCAACTATTTGCTTTCCTTTCGCAGGAGCATAAAAACAGGAAGTAGATTTAAATATACCTAGTTTGGCTCCTTTCTTCAGGAAGCAGACAACAACAGAAGTGTTTCTGCGGTCAATGGCACGGTCAAGAGCTCGCATACCGTTAAGGTCTGCATGCTCTATTTGAGCTCCACGGTCAATGAGAGCTTGTACAACCTGAGCATCACCGTGAAAGGAGGCCAGCTGTAGTGGTGTACGACCACACCTGTCTGTATGATGAAGGTTTGAACCTCGATCTAGTAACATGGATATGATGTGAAGGTGGCCTTTAAGACAACTCCAGCAAAGTGATGTGAGACCTTCCTTGTCAACCTGGTGTATAGAGCAACCTAGAGGAATAGAGAAAATAAAAATAGTTCCAAGTTGTCATTCAAAACACAGCATCTTATAGCAATTTTGCATTTTCTATTTATCTCTTGATCATACATACATGACAATGGTATATGTAGGCCATCTAACCAAAATATACAGAGACTACAGGTGTTTCATATCAAAATGAAAAAATAACAAATGTTAAGGATCCAGCTATCTTGTCCTCCCAAATGATATTACAGGTCGAATTTGGTTGAAACCTATCCAGGCATATGAGAGAAGAAATTTCCCATAACAGGACTTGCCTTTCTTGCTCATAAAAGTCACTACACCTTCATTTATATAAATTATTTTTGGTCTCCAACTTGAATGTTTCTGGCCAAATTTGGTTGATATCTGTTCTGGTATGCCAGAATATTAGCGTTTTAAAGCCTTATACCCCAAGAGGCTCGACCTTTGACCCCTTGGAGTCACAATACATTCATCTAAATGAATTATGCTTGCTCTCCCATATGAAATTTCAGGCCAAATTCTTAACTTAACACAGAGAAATGCAAATCACTATACTTAATAACAGGTATCATCAAGAATATCTATGTTATTGATGGAATCAACCAAACAAGGAAAAGGCTCATGGAATAGTATTCAGCACATCACATAGGTGTGCACACATATCACCACGTGTGCACACATATCACTAAGTGTGCACACATATCACTAGGTGTGCACACATATCACATAAGTATGCACACATATCACACAGGTGTGCACACATATCACTAAGTGTGCACACATATCACTAGGTATGCACACATATCACACAGGTGTGCACACATATCACTAAGTGTGCACACATATCACATAAGTATGCACACATATCACTAAGTGTGCACACATATCACTAAGTGTGCACACATATCACATAAGTATGCACACATATCACTAAGTGTGCACACATATCACTAAGTGTGCACACATATCACTAAGTGTGCACACATATCACTAAGTGTTCACACATATCACCTAAGTATGCACACATATCACTAAGTGTGCACACATATCACCAGGTGTGAAAAAGGCAACCAGACTGCTGGACTGGCTCAAGAGATAAATAATATACATGTATGCAACCAGGTTTATTTCACATTTCAAGTCACTGATAAGACCAAAGCTGGAGTACAGAACAACAGTTTGGAGTTCAATACTAAGAAATGATATCACATCAGTCGAGAACATTCAAAGAAGGGCAACCAATATGGTTAGAAATCTTGGAGCACTGTTTGTGACAATGCAATATGCTATCTACATAACTGTCAACATTGTACCTAGGACATGTATGCACAAGCCTGGGTACATTGAAGTGTAGAAGATATCAAGTTGCCAATGGCTTACGTAGACCAGAGATCAGGTAAATCAGGTAGGCTAAAAATCAAGGCAGACTTTGATCACACCAATTTCCTTTCACATGAAAATTCTTTTGTTTAAAAATCACACTAATAAATCTCAGATAATCAGACTTACCTTTGTTTAGCAACATTTCTAGCACCCCTATATGTCCTTTGTAGGCAGCAATCATCAATGGTGTACGGCCATACTTGTCCGTGTGGTCGAGGGTTGCCCCAGCACTGATCAGAATTTCCACGATGTCCCAGTGTCCTGCATCTACACTGCAGAGTAACGGTGAGAAGGACTTGTTGTTAGGCAGAAGAGGGGCAGCTCCTCGCTCGAGAAAATTCTGCGCCAGGTCCAGCTGACCGTGACCACATGCCGCTGTCAGTGCTGTAATCAGAAAAATGACAATCAATTCTACATGTCAATTTTATCACTTATTGCTAAAGATCATTTCAGTGCTGCTGTATATAATTTATATATAAAATGTATATAAATTGTGGACATGACTAAATCTTGAATCAACCTTTCCTAGTGTATATGTTTGACTTGCCAAAGAACTCCTTTCCTGGCCTATGGTACTGAACCATAGATCATAGAAACACTCAGTATCTATACAGCAGTGATGAAGGCTGATTAAGATTAGAATGTATACTGTCTGACTTCCCATACTCAATGAAATTCCATTGTGCTACACAACAGGGAGATGTACCATTAATTCCTTTTGAATGTTTAACATGAAATATGTATTGATTACATGTGGTGGCCAACATTAATGTATATGGTAAGGTAGATATGTGTGGTCAGGTGGCTCAATGGTTTCATGTTCCTCTCTCAACCTCCAGGTACGTAACAATGTTTCTAGGGGAGGAGAGCTTCTATACTATAACAAGTGGACAAAAGGAACACCAGAGAGAATTCACAAGCCTCAGAAAAACCACCTGTATTCAGTCAAATAATGTTTAATTTTTACATCTCCAAAATTATCATAAATAAATTACCTACCTGGAAACATAGTTTAAATATAATAGATTAAATGTTTACATTTATCACTAATGGTGAATGCGAAAACAAGATTTCCCAGATGTAGCAAAGTCTGACAGTGGATAGACAGGTTAAGTAAGATTATGTCCAGTGAAAATGCTGTTTGCATGTATTTAACTCAATTTGAGGTGACATATCTCAGCTTTAAACTGATATTTTCTATCATCAGAAATAGGAATTTTGTTCACTTACGTGTTTCTCCCAACAGTGTGTCAACACTGTTTATTCCAAACCCTTCATAGTTATGCATACTGGGGTGGAGAAGGTAGTCACAAATCTGAAAAGATAAAACACCTTTATCACTTATCTTGTTTGCTTTAGTCACAAGTGATTGATCCAAACAGAAGGGGAAGGATTTAAAATATTTTCTCAAAGGGAGTTATACAAATCATTTAAACAAAATTGAATCATCTCAACCCAATGATGCTTCACATCAAATTTGGTCAAAATCCCTTTATCCCTACAGAAGAAAAAGAAGTAATTATGAAGGATGAAGGACTTTCCAGCTTTTCCCCTGTTACAGCTACTCAACCTTGGCTATCTGTTTCTAGGGGACATTCCATCACCCAAACAGAAGAAAGATTTAAATATTTAAAATTATTGCTCTATTACTCCAATTGGGATAGAATTTAATCATTCCTACAGAAGAAGAAGGATTTTAAAGATATGCTCTATTTCTCTAATGGACCCCATCCAGGGTGGCTATGAACTATTGTATATACTGATTACACTTCACAAAAGGATGCTCTAGATCCAATTTGGACAATTCATATGTACAGTTCTGTGACTTCAAAGAGTAACTATGATTGACAGATTTACAATTCATATGTACAGTTCTGTGACTTAACAAGTAACTGTGTATGGACAGAATTACAACAGATACATACAGTTCTGAGACTTAAAGAATAACTATGTGTGTACATATTTACAACAGATACATACAGTTCTGTACTATAAGTGGACAGATTTACAACAGATACATACAGTTCTGTACTATGATCGACAGATTTACAACAGATACGTACAGTTCTGTACTATGAGTGTACAGATTTACAACAGATATGTACAGTTCTGTACTATGAGTGTACAGATTTACAACAGATAGGTACAGTTCTGTACTATGAGTGGACAGATTTACAACAGATACGTACAGTTCTGTACTATGAGTGTACAGATTTACAACAGATACGTACAGTTCTGTACTATAAGTGGACAGATTTACAACAGATACATACAGTTCTGTACTATGATCGACAGATTTACAACAGATACGTACAGTTCTGTACTATGAGTGTACAGATTTACAACAGATAGGTACAGTTCTGTACTATGATCGACAGATTTACAACAGATACGTACAGTTCTGTACTATGATCGACAGATTTACAACAGATAGGTACAGTTCTGTACTATGAGTGGACAGATTTACAACAGATACGTACAGTTCTGTACTATGAGTGTACAGATTTACAACAGATACGTACAGTTCTGTACTATGAGTGTACAGATTTACAACAGATAGGTACAGTTCTGTACTATGAGTGGACAGATTTACAACAGATACGTACAGTTCTGTACTATGAGTGGATAGATTTACAACAGATACGTACAGTTCTGTGACCAAGAGCTGAGGCTGCCACCAGTGCCTGCTGCATGGCCTCTATTTTAGTAAGTTGACCATCATATGAAGACCAATCACATTGCAGCAAATACTCTAGGGCCTCCAAATGACCATGCATGGCTGCGTGGACTGCTGGACACTGGCCATTGTTGTCTACATGGGACAGCTGTATAGGCATAAAACAATTAGTTTTAAACAAAGTTTTAGAAGAAGAATCAAGTGTAATTGATTTTGTTCTATATTTCTATAAAATTAAATAATTCAGCACACAATTTACAATATTGTTGACATTTTGATTGATTGACATGGATTAGAAATACATACACACAGATTTGCTGTTTTTCTAAATAAGTAGCAGCTTACCCTTGCATTACGAAGACAAAGCATCCTCATAATATCTATGTGGCCTGCAGCTGCAGCATAACATAATGCTGACATTCCTGTCTCTGACACAGCATCAACACTGGCATGGAACTCCAACAGAAGACCAACCATGTCCGGAAATCCCTCCCGTGCAGCCACACACAACACTGGTGCTGAACACTGATACTGAGTACGGGAGTTTGGGTTGGCACCAGACAACAATATCAACCGACTTACCTAGAAAAAGGAACAAAACATCATCAGGTTAATCTATAAATCCACTATATCACACCAATAAAATCATACTACTTATCTTGCTTTTAGAAAACTAGAAATCCCACAGGGATTCAACATAAAGACAAACAAGAGATGTTGGTTAAGATACATATATGGAGTTTCCAGACAAAAAGAATGGAAGTCACTAGTGTTAGGAAGGAGATCTGATGGAGCCATTTTCCTCTTTTGGTAGTCTTGCTACAGTTTACTACTAATTTTGAACATAAGTTGGTACTGAACATACAAATATTGCAGATTAATTTGACACAGATGTAATTATTACAACAGAGACATCACTTTTGGATGGCCCTTTGGATGAGTCACCACATTGAGGTGATTTGGCAGAAGAATTTTTAAAAATCTGAAAATATCCCCTGTTAATCAGGCAAATGAGGATCTCTAAGATGATTCTTACCAAATTTGGTTAAAATCTGCATAGTTGTTCATTACTAGAAGTGTTTTAAAGAAATGGTTGATGGGTGACAGATGATGGTAGAACAGCTGATGCCATGGTATAGCATAAGCTAAACTTTGTCCTTTGCACCAGGTAAGAAAAAGAATGACTTTCAATCCCCATATCAATGACAGAGACAGTTACTATTGTAAGGATATATTGCTAATGACATGAGGAGTACTGAGTACACTTTACTATTGGTTAAGACATGGAGATATTGGTCACTGGATCTGGTAATAACAGTTACCTGTGACTTTGCTGATGATTAAGACATGGAGATATTGGTCACTGGATCTGGTAATAACAGTTACCAGTGACTTTGCTGATGATTAAGACATGGAGATATTGGTCACTGGATCTGGTAATAACAGTTACCTGTGACTTTGCTGATGATTAAGACATGGAGATATTGGTCACTGGATCTGGTAATAACAGTTACCAGTGACTTTGCTGATGATTAAGACATGGAGATATTGGTCACTGGATCTGGTAATAACAGTTACCTGTGACTTTGCTGATGATTAAGACATGGAGATATTGGTCACTGGATCTGGTAATAACAGTTACCAGTGACTTTGCTGATGATTAAGACATGGAGATATTGGTCACTGGATCTGGTAATAACAGTTACCAGTGACTTTGCTGATGAGGGTACTTACCTTGACATTTGGTGAGTAAAGATTTCTGTACGACACAAGTGCAGAGTTCAGATTATCAGAGCTAAGCGACATCCAATAGGCCTGCATATCACGCGAAGAGTAACCACGTTGTTTACTAATGTTCTTGTAGATGTGGGCCTTTAGGATATGGTGTCCTAACTCAATCGTCTTGTCTTCATTCAGGGGAGCACTCAATCGTGATAGCTTAAAAGCCATGAGAGCATGCCCTTGTCTGAAATGACATAGATACAGCATTGATACTGAATTTATAAACAACATTGTCATTTTCATTCATGTTCTAATCAACTTCAGCTAAAGTTTTACCAGAAATATGTCTGCAGGGAGTACAAATATTATCTTAATATCTTCACTAGGGCCACACCAATTAGCAGTTTATACAGGATTTCTGCACCTTAACTAGAGATATAAAAAAATTGACTTGATCCCCCTAAAAAGTTAGAAAAATCCAGAACTTCACCAATTTCCAATTTTTTAACCAAATGTATTTCAGATACTTTCCGATGTTTGAAACATATAATGAATGTAATGACAGCAGAAGTGCAAGCATTTGGATGACTTTGAGGTTGATCAGACCAATAAAGGAGGCAGGAACAAGCTGAAATGTTTGGGGTTTTAATGAATAATGACAGCATGGACATTGATGAAGGTAATATGGTTAATTGACAACATAGAACCTGCTAGTAAACTTGTTTTAATCGCTTCAGAGATAATTCACAGACACGAGTGATGACATTGGTGAACATGAAAGCTGAGGCTGATATCAACCAATCTTGCTGATAGGTGAGCATGCCTAAACGGATGCTTCTAACCAAATTTGGTCAAAATCTGCTGTCATTCATGACCAGTAGTAATGTTTAGAAACATGAGGTGAGTAGGCCTAAACACTCACCTGACAGATAGATGTGATAATCATTACTCTACACCTAAATGAATCCTTCTCTTTACATTCAATTTCTTTATTTTAAGAACAGATGAAAGTTCACTGTTAAATATAAATTGTAGATGAAAGAATGTTAATTATTCTGTTATTCATTCTAAATATAATGAATTTTATATTAGCCAAACAAGTAATGAACTCAGAATACATAATGATGGTTCAAAGCAAACTAAAACAGATTCATTACAAAATCTACATGTAAACAAACACATATTCATAATAGTGCCAGAGACAAATTTAGTGTATTACATTTGTATCAGTTCTATTAATCAAATACCATTTTGTTAGAAAAGAAAGAATATATATTTTTTGAAAAATCTGAAACCAAGTATAACTTGGTAAATACAAAATTGCTGCATATTGTTTACTTGTGTTTTGTACAACATGACGTCATGTCAATTATGAATGCAGAGCCTCTGAAGAGAAGAAAGTGCTCATTCAAGAAAGTGGTTGATTTTATATCTATTTTCTCATTGACTTTCGATTTCCATTTGAGACCTGAATTTTCCACTTGTTTATTGTTTATATAGCAGCTTTGGTTACTTTCTGATCATTTGACTTTCCCAAGGTATGAATTCTATCGCCTGTAAAGAAAATATAAAAGAAGTTGACAAACATGTTTAGGTAATCACAAGCTTTGAAACTTACCGAAGATCACAGAGAAATTTTGGGTTATCAGCATCATCTCTCCGAATCAACCACTCTCTAAATGCTGGATGAAAAAACATATAGGAGCTATCCCTCCTCTGATACATAAATCCTGATAACACTTTCAGTCGGTTCTCAAAATCCTGCCATGACAGGAAATGATCTGTGTACCCAGAGTTCACTGTCTCAAAAATTTCCATGGCATTAAGAGGATACAGTGTGGCTAAGCATACCCCTAAAATGGGCGACACTTTCTCAAATGAACGCACACTTGGGAATTTCAGATTGAAATTTAATAAAAATACTTCTGATATATTCATGGGTAAAATCTTGTAGTTAGTGCTCTTTAACACCACACTGCCATTTTCTATCAAGTCAAGAGTTAATTTGGTGTACAGAAATGAACCTTTACTCAACATCTGTAAATGACTGCAGAATTTCACTTGAGTTGATGAATCGAGTTTTCCACTGGGAGCGATATTGTTTTTGATATTAGAACATGTTTCTATCCTATAATTGATGTAATCCTGTATGTCCATAGCTATGACCTCCTCATAAGGACCACGGTCAATACATACATGGTCATATGGTAGTGACTGTGTAATGTCCTGCAGCACACTTTGAACTGTGATTACAAGCTTCAACCACACTGGGAATTCCTCTGCATGACGGACAAGGAATGATGCAATTGTGTCTCCATAATCTGGTTTATGGAACTCTGCTTCATTCAAAGCGTCTATGAGAATAAGACAACATTCTGATGCTATCCTTCCTGCATCCTTAAGAGAGTTGAGAGGTTCAATGATGCCCTTGGTAAGAGCTGTAGTAGGATTTAGTACACATTCCTTCAAGCTGAGCACATGCTGCAGCTGCGGATCCTGAAGTAACATTTCCCGATATGCAGACAGCTGAGGAGCGTGTGACATGCGTGCCGCTAGGCTGTGTATAAACTCAGGCACAAGACAGGTAGCATTGTTGTCTGCTTGACAGAAGTGGAAAGCTACAACCCTGGTACCAAGGTTACGAAGGGCGTTGTAGTCAGAGACCGACTGCTGTGACATTTGGTTGAGAGTTGAGGTTGGGCTAGCTCCTTTGTTGAATGACTTGTCTCTTCTCATACGATGGCTAAAACCTAAAGACAGATTCATTCTTATGTTAGAAAAAGTCTTAAATATGAACAAAATATTTCCTTACAAGAAACTGAAAGCTTAAATAACAGCTATAAACCCTTTAATTCATTGTGAAAATTGTTCCCTTTTTTCAAGTCATTTTTCAGTAAAACAAACATAAAAGTGAACAATAGAGTTTCTGATAGAACAGATTGGTGATCTATTGGTGTCACTTAATATTGTCAGATTAATATTGCTTGTATTTATTTACAAACCTTCAAAATTGCTTCAAAACTTTAAGTGGTCTTATCAGGAACAGACAAATAGAGTGGAGTGCCCAGACATTAAACGGAGGACTTGGGGCAGACATTCAGTGGGGTGACCAGGGACAGATATTTAGTGGAGAGACCTGGGACAGATATTTAGTGGAGTGACCAAGTGGATTGACCAGGGACAGACATCAAGAGGAGTGACCTGTGACAGACATTCAGTGGGGTGACCAGGGACAGATATTAAGTGGAGTGACCTGTGACAGATATTTAGTGGAGAGACCTGGGACAGATATTTAGTGGAGTGACCAGGGATAGATATTTAGTGGAGTGACCAGGGACAGATATTTAGTGGAGTGACCAGGGACAGATATTAAGTGGAGTGACCAGGGACAGATATTTAGTGGAGTGACCAGGGGCAGACACAGACATTTAGTGGGGTGACCAGGGACAGACATTAAGTGGATTGACCAGGGACAGACATCAAGAGGAGTGACCTGTGACAGACATTCAGTGGGGTGACCAGGGACAGATATTAAGTGGAGTGACCTGTGACAGACATCAAAGTGGGATCAATAAGATTTACCTTGAAAAAAAGATAGGGCACCCTAATGTTAACGATATAAGGTTTTTGAACATTTGTAATTACCTTCTACAAGACTGCAGGATGACCCATCATGGAAACAGCTGGAATGAACAAGCTGTTGAATTATTGCAGTCTTGCCAGCACCTATACCGCCTGTTATCACCACTCCTCTTGTCTGATTCATCGGCTCATGTTGCAGAACCTGTACAACCAAAACGTGATAAAACACATGAAAAACTCAACATCTGAGAAACAGCTTCTCTGTTGTCTTGACATAACATGCCTTTCACTGAACACTGTGCAGAATGACATTATTTCGGATACTTTCATGAAATGAGCTGATGTAGATTATACAAAGAAGTAATATTTATCACTAAATATCACTGATGTTTTATTCCAGATGTACCAATTCATATCACAGATATTTTCATAAAATCATTTAAATTTCCACTCACCATTTCCAGCTTATTGAAGAGCCACTCCCTGCCAACAAAGTTTGTTTTACCCTCTATCTGAGGAACTTCCAGGTTAATTGGGGTGAGATGAACCTGGGGAGGTTTGATTGGTGTGATGTTAACTAAAAACAAAAGAAGAAAAAATAAAGCAAAATAAACTTGGATCTAAACACCTGAATTAATGAATTGACCTTACATACCTATCAGGAAATCTCTTACCACGAAATAACCCTAAATCTTTATTAGGAAATCTCTTACCATGAAATAATCCTAAATCTTTATCAGAAAATCTCTTACCACGAAATAACCCTGTACCCTTATCAGGAAATCTCTTACCAGGAAATCACCCTAAATCTTTATCAGGAAATCTCTTACCAGGAAATCACCCTAAATCTTTATCAGGAAATCTCTTACCAGGAAATCACCCTAAATCTTTATCAGGAAATCTCTTACCAGGAAATCACCCTAAATCTTTATCAGGAAATCTCTTACCAGGAAATCACCCTAAATCTTTATCAGGAAATCTCTTACCAGGAAATCACCCTAAATCTTTATCAGAAAATCTCTTACCAGGAAATCACCCTAAATCTTTATCAGAAAATCTCTTGCACTTGTTTCTTACTCAGAAGGGAGAAATTTATCTACATTGCCAGTCCACATTGGTAGATATTCATATCTTACTCAGGTGGGAGAAAGAGCTATCTCATGTGGCTGTTCCACATAGGACCACACTCATATCTTACTCAGGCGGTAGAAAGAGCTATCTCATGTGGCTGTTCCACATAGGACCACACTCATATCTTACTCAGGCGGTAGAAAGAGCTATCTCATGTGGCTGTTCCACATAGGACCACACTCATATCTTACTCAGGCGGTAGAAAGAGCTATCTCATGTGGCTGTTCCACATAGGACCACACTCATATCTTACTCAGGCGGTAGAAAGAGCTATCTCATGTGGCTGTTCCACATAGGACCACACTCATATCTTACTCAGGTGGGAGAAAGAGCTATCTCATGTGGCTGTTCCACATAGGACCACACTCATATCTTACTGATGTGGGAGAAAGAGGTATCCCATTTGGGCGATTCACATTGGTTACTCACATCTTACAGAGAACAAAGGAATACAGCTAAATATGGTAGTGATCAGACACAGGAATCACCTCTTACCTTTACTGTCTGAGTGACCAATTGTGGCACGAGCTGATCGGCGAAATGAAGAAGGACCTCTGTTGAACAGTCCAAGATCTTCTATCTGACCAGGTGTTGATGCTGCAAAACAATGACAAAATACGGTCAGATTACATATTCTAGCTTATTATTGGACTGCTCAATTATTCCCTGAATTTTCTAATCCTATAGTTTGAACACAAAAGGTTTGTTAATATGGATATCTGTATAGTGTTTAACAAGAGATCCCAGTAGAATTTCATCTCCCACCATTGTTTATTCTTTATTCGTTCTTAAATAAGTGAATCTTTATCCTTCTTTTCTTTTCTTTCCTCTACCATATCTGAAAATTCCTCAAAGCACAAAGACCAATGGGAACCTACATATGAAATTAAACAAAGATCCATCAAGTACTTTATAAGATGAAGCATTAACAAGCTTTCTACTGTGGAAATCCAAGTTGGCCTCTTTTCTTTTATTTCTTTTTTCTAATCAGTCCCAACTAGAGGGACCAAGAGAAACCTACATATAAAATTAAACAAAGATCCATCTATTAATTCTCAAGAAACAGTGATAACAAAATATGTTTATGTGAGTAGCCCTTGACAGTGGTGAGTACAATTTACTAACTTGTAATGGAGTGAGGTCGCTGCGTTGTACTGTGTGGGCTAGTCCGTGAGGTGATACAATCAGAACTCTGTTTTCGACCAGACAACAGTGCTCCATACCCCATGTGTATACCAGAAAGTCCCCGCTCACTGCTGGAGGATGCTGTAATTATTAAGGTCACACAGCTGTATAACAAATACACACCAAACATGACTACCTATATACAAACACTGTGTAATGGTTTAATTTTCACTACTCTATACTGAACTCCTTAATACTGTCCTGTTTCATAGTGTAAATCAGATTTGGTTTGACAGAGGACTGTGTCAGAGTGAGATAAAGAACTACATATGTACCTGTGAGTGTTGACAAAGGACTGGTGTCAGAGATTCCATGTTCTGGAGTATTTTCACCACTTGCTAGAGACGACACGCTCGTGAAAGTCTCCTCACTTTGGTTCACAACCTGGGAGTTTGGGGACAGTGTATCCGAACGATCACCTAGCAGCAGTCCCAAACGTGTGATGAGATCGTTCTGAGCAACATCTGGTGGTGGAGGTGGAGGATTTGACGTATCTAGTGAAAAAAACTCATATTATTACTAATTATTACTATTGCTTCATCCAAACTAAAGGAAACCAAATCTAAGTTTCTAAACACTCACAAACTATATCTATTTCGCCACTAGGCTCCACCCTTCTGTCCTTGAGGAATCAGCTAAACAATTCATGCTTCATGCCAATTAACAGTTCTGCCATTCCTACAAGAATTTTACAGAATTTGCTCTACTTCCCTTATTGGGCTCTGCCCATCCTGGGGTCAAGACATACAGTTTATAAAAAAACTGATTCTCCTTCATCAAAGTATGTTTCAGTCGAAAAATCTTATCAAAATCCAATCATACCTATGGGAGGAGTAGGATTTTAAAGGACTTGTTCTATTTCCACTTAGATCCACTTAAGTATAATGTTCTAGTGACAATATGAAGGGCAGAAGAATGCAAGGGTGGACACATTTACTTCCTCCTAGTGGGGACTCAAAATATAGCTTACACAACTCAGAACCATAATTAACATGTACATAGCTTTTGAAATAGATGTCTTCAGCACTTCTTGAAAAGATGTTAAACATTCTAATATGTAATTTGTATCAATTTGATAAAACATTGACTGAGATAGACTGCTCAGTTGCGATGATTCAATGTCTTCACCATTCCACATACACACCTGGACTAAAGCTATTGCCCAACTCCAATGAATGGCCCTCACTGTCCAGCCTTGACAACTCATCAAGGCTATCATTGGTTGTCACGGCAGCTCCGAGGCTTGGGGAACTAATAACAGGACTGCTACTATATCTATGGGAGCTGGGTTCTGCCCTGTATTCCTCCATGGGTGGATGAAGTGGTGGTGTTGGTCCTATGGATGATGTGGTTGGAGATGTTAAAGGCCGAAAATATCGGGGTTTAGCAGGTACTGGAGGACTGAGATGAGATCCTACAGAAAAAAGAATTAGATATAAGTAAATAACGAAGAACTGAAATTAATAAAAACAGGTTTTTAATATTTCTATTTGTTACTATAAATGTGAGATATGATAAATTTACAAACACTTTCACAGGAAATGACTACCAACAGCTATTTGAACTTTTGAAGATATTTGTCCTCAAATCATCTCCGTGCAGTCCTGGATTGTACATTCTTCTAATGTTTTTGAATTCACTGTAGCTGAAGAGGATTTCATGTTCTTTGTAATACATAAGTAATACCCCCCTTGACACACCCCTCATCCTCATTTCTGTTTAGCACTGGCCAGCTGCAGCATATCCAGATGGCCTCCTTGACCAGCTGCCTGAAAAGGTTGTTTTCCAAATTTTGCTGTGTGGAATGATCTGTAAGTGCCAATTTACTGATCTAGGACTGATAGTGATGTCAATTTGATCTGGTGAATTTTCACCTTCTTGGGATTCCGCATCTTTCTGATGCTCACTTAGACCCAGAATCACCTGTCCATCTTTCTGATGCTCACTTAGACCCAGAATCACCTGTCCATCTTTCTGATGCTCACTTAGACCCAGAATCACCTGTCCATCTTTCTGATGCTCACTTAGACCCAGAATCACCTGTCGATTTTTCTGATGCTCACTTAGACCCAGAATCACCTGTCCATCTTTCTGATGCTCACTTAGACCCAGAATCACCTGTCCATCTTTCTGATGCTCACTTAGACACGGAATCACCTGTTGATTTTTCTGACGCTCACTTAGACCCAGAATCACCTGTCCATCTTTCTGATGCTCAGTTAGACCCAGAATCACCTGTCCATCTTTCTGATGCTCACTTAGACCCAGAATCACCTGTCCATCTTTCTGATGCTCACTTAGACCCAGAATCACCTGTCCATCTTTCTGATGCTCACTTAGACCCAGAATCACCTGTCGATTTTTCTGATGCTCACTTAGACCCAGAATCACCTGTCCATCTTTCTGATGCTCACTTAGACCCAGAATCACCTGTCGATTTTTCTGACGCTCACTTAGACCCAGAATCACCTGTCCATCTTTCTGATATACGATGTGCTAAAGTTCTTGCTTCTGCTTTTGTATACCCATTCTGCGACATTCTCTTTGGGTATTTTGTCTTTAAGATGGCCTCGGACAGTTTGATGAATCTTTAGAGGTTTCATGGCTGTTGTAATACCATAACCACGGTAAATCCTCTGAATGGTATCTAACAGACCTCTGATGTAACGGATGACACCCTGTCCTTTCATTTCATTGTTTTTCTTCATGTTTTGTCTTTTATTCTTGTCTTTGCTTTCATAAAACTTTCTGGACTAAACAATCAGGGTATCCACATGTTTTCATGCTGCTACAGCTGTAATTTTGTTTTTTGTTCTTCGATGATGATCATTTCACAATGGCTGAGCAAAATTCACACAATGCCCAACTTTTGGTGTAAGGGGTAGTGAACTCCTGTATCCCTATACTATAGTACCATCATTTTAGTAGGAGGGTGTCAAGTTATGGCATAGTGCCAATGATTTCTTCCTAACAAGTGAATTTGATGCTGTTGGTAGTATCTATGCTATTGATATGCGCAATCAAATCCTTCAGTGACCTGTTCTGGACTATTTCCAACCTTTCATCAACATATCGTTTATATAGACTTGGCTTGAATTCTGGGAGTGCCATTACTAAAGCCTCATTCCAAAGTTCTCCATGAATAAGATGTTCAGAAATACGGTATCTGAGACCTGCCTCTTTTCAGACTTCTTGGATTAGAAAATTTGGATGTGACAGATGAGGAAGTTTTAAAGACCTACCTATTTGTAAATTTCCTGGATTTTGGATATGATCACTCTGATGTTGTTTCTTGATGGGGGTGAAATGTCCATTGGTTTTCACAGTTGAACGATTTGACCCATTTCCATGGGGAACGGGACATCCTGTTAGACAGAAAAATTTGAGAACTTCAATAATTCAATATATATGTACTTGATGGATGATGAAACCTGTCTAAATAGAAGGAGGATGTAACATAATAACTAAGGAACAACGAGAATATACATAGAAATAAGATGAGAGATTAATGCTGAAGTTATTTAATAGGTCTGTAAAATAAAGGGTCCAACAACATATAAGATATCATTATATTAATTCTATGAAATTACGTTACAACATGTCCATATATTAATTAAGTATGTAAAATGAGGGTTCAACATTATAAATTATAAGATATTTATCTAACAGGTCTGTTGAATGAGGGTCATCAATGAAAAGATATTTTAGGTCTGAGAAATGAGGATCAAACAATTTTTAAGTTTGTGAAATTAGGGTCCAGTATGATAAGATATTTATGAATGAAAATTCAGAAAGATCCATCCATCTGAATGTAGGGCGATTTAAATGGTAGGTAAATAAAATGTTTTTGAAGGTGTTTCATTTCTTTGTTTTCTTTTCGACTATAACGTGATCTTCTACATGTCTTCCATGAGGTAAAGGGAAATAATCCAATATGATTACCATGATCATGACCTCAATATGAATTGTTCCTGTGCATAGTGCTCAGCTGAATTCTGACATGACCATTGTCCAAACAAATTGTGCACTATATGAGCATATTTACAGTATATAAAGAAACTTTATAGCACTCCTTCACAGGTAACAACTCGCCAAAAGTAAGTATCCTTGGTCATATGAAACTTCAGAAGATTCTCAAAGATGTTTCACATTCTGACCTGTATTACCTCAAAAATAGGTCAAGGTTATTTAGTAACACAAGTTTTGAAGAGCTCTACCCTAAGTACCTGATGGCAAAATATTAAGGACTGCACTTAATCAGTATTATGACCATGGAGCTTTTGGTTATTCTGGAAAAGTCAAACAATTTCACATATTTGGTCCCATTGACTTTGAAAGTGGATTCAGGTTATTAATTTGAAAATTTAAAAAAAAGCCCTCTTCAATAGATTTATACTAGTCAAATATCTGCACTCTATGCATCTTTATTACTGACAAGTTGTTTTTGAAGGGAAAAGTTGATGTGTAAATGGATAGCAGACATCACACATCATAACATCACTTGACTTTAGGACAGGCCAGTCAAAAAATATTGTTTCACAATGGTTAATAGGAATTAGAAATTTAACAGGTACGTACTGTTATCACACATAGGACAGCTTTCATAGGTGACCAGACAAGTGAAGCAGAGCTCATGTCCACATGCCTCCTGCAACTTTCGTTTCTTGCCTTTGTCATATGGCATGTGGCATACCGGACACACGTTTCGGTTCTTTCCATCCATATTCAGCTCTCGGATCACATCAAGATCTGCAAAACAGTAAACATAAACAGTAAATGGAACACACAATTCAGGTGGTCGACATTAACAGTAAATGGAACACACAATTCAGGTGGTCGACATTAACAGTAAATGGAACAACATGTCAAGTGGTCGACATTAACAGTAAATGGAACAACATGTCAGGTGGTCGACATTAACAGTAAATGGAACAACATGTCAAGTGGTCGACATTAACAGTAAATGGAACAACATGTCAGGTGGTCGACATTAACAGTAAATGGAACAACATGTCAGGTGGTCAACATTAACAGTAAATGGAACAACATGTCAGGTGGTCGACATTAACAGTAAATGGAACAACATGTCAGGTGGTCGACATTAACAGTAAATGGAACAACATGTCAAGTGGTCGACATTAACAGTAAATGGAACAACATGTCAGGTGGTCGACATTAACAGTAAATGGAACAACATGTCAAGTGGTCGACATTAACAGTAAATGGAACAACATGTCAGGTGGTCGACATTAACAGTAAATGGAACAACATGTCAGGTGGTCAACATTAACAGTAGTAAATGGAACAACATGTCAGGTGGTCAACATAAACAGTAAATAGAACAACATGTCAGGTGGTCAACATTAACAGTAAATGGAACATGTCAGGTGGTCAACATTAACAGTAAATAGAACAACATGTCAGGTGGTCAACATAAACAGTAAATAGAACAACATGTCAGGTGGTCAACATAAACAGTAAATAGAACAACATGTCAGGTGGTCAACATAAACAGTAAATAGAACAACATGTCAGGTGGTCAACATTAACAGTAAATGGAACAACATGTCAGGTGGTCAACATAAACAGTAAATAGTACAACATGTCAGGTGGTCAACATAAACAGTAAATGGAACAACATGTCAGGTGGTCGGCATAAACAGTAAATAGAACAACATGTCAGGTGGTCAACATTAACAGTAAATGGAACAACATGTCAGGTGGTCAACATTAACAGTAAATAGAACAACATGTCAGGTGGTCAACATAAACAGTAAATAGAACAACATGTCAGGTGGTCAACATTAACAGTAAATAGAACAACATGTCAGGTGGTCAACATAAACAGTAAATAGAACAACATGTCAGGTGGTCAACATTAACAGTAAATGGAACAACATGTCAGGTGGTCAACATAAACAGTAAATAGAACAACATCTCAGGTGGTCAACATAAACAGTAAATGGAACAACATGTCAGCTGGTCGGCATAAACAGTAAATAGAACAACATGTCAGGTGGTCAACATTAACAGTAAATGGAACACTTCAGGTGGTCAACATTAACAGTAAATAGAACAACATCTCAGGTGGTCAACATTAACAGTAAATGGAACATGTCAGGTGGTCAACATAAACAGTAAATAGAACAACATGTCAGGTGGTCAACATAAACAGTAAATAGAACAACATGTCAGGTGGTCAACATAAACAGTAAATGGAACACTTCAGGTGGTCAACATTAACAGTAAATGGAACAACATCTCAGGTGGTCAACATAAACAGTAAATGGAACACTTCAGGTGGTTAACATAATTAAATAAAAAAGGATAAACACCACAAATACCATGCTTTTATGATGTGTCAGACAGGTAATCAGGTGATACAGATTTGATTCTTGTTAGGTTGTCTTTCTATTTATTTGTTAACCAGGTTGCAGATATAATATGACAACCAATCCATGGTTTAGTAATGACAAGGTCGTCTGTGTAGTGAGACTTCTGTACCATCTGGTCATTTTAACATTCTATTGTGATACCATCATACTTATTGTGATGTCAGTCTTCCATGAACTCAGTAAAATGATACCAGCAGGATGAAATAACTCGATGATCAGCATAGCAGTGAATGTTTTAGCTATTTAGGTAATACATCCCTTTCTGCTGACATTAACAATTATGTCTTTATGTAATATTATGTGTATTAAACACTAATAGCTGACAACATTCCTTGTCTCACTGAGTAGTGGTGTTTTTGTATGAATACAGACTCTCTGTAACAAACCAGATGGTTGAATTAAATCAGATATGTATTATTTCTATCCTTTCCATTCTTTTCTGTCCTATTTCTTGCTCTGAACACTGAACATGGGCCAAATGGCCACCTGTCAGCCATTTTGTTATATTAATATTGCTGGGGACCTTTGTGAATTTACATATGAAATTAAAGAATGACCCATCCAGTAGTTCTCTAGAAATAGTGTTCAACCAACAGAATTAACTAACTGTAACTGCCAAAATCCACCAAATCAGTCGGTCTTTCATCTTGTTTTTTTCCCCCCATCAGTCCTAAAATGGGCAACGCATAACCATACAGACAAAGGTGAACCTACATATAAAAATTGAGAATGCTTTATATATGTATTTAACGTAGCTAGAAATTGGAACAACAAATTAATTTTGTAAATATCCAAAACCTCTGCCTGTTGGCCATTTTGTTTTTCTGATGCGAGTCCATAAAAAACAAAGATCCATCTGTTCCTTTCTAGAAAATGTGATAGATTCTATGTCTATATTTAAGATTGCTACCTGTCAGCAAATTACTTTTTCTGATCTATAAATAGGGACCAGGACATATCTACACGAGTTTTGTAATGGATTCCATTAGTAATTCCCGACAAGAATTATTTATTATGGACCAATGGATGGCCGACATACAAATCATAGATTCATAGCAATTTTAACAGCCCACCATCTGAATCCGAAAGAATTAAGCATGCACACTGTGAATATGACACTTGACTCACATACATGTATCTGACTCACCTGTGTTTGTAGATCATGTACACCAACACTTTGCTCACATACCTGACTCACCTTTTATAATTCAGCAGTTAGGATGGAGACATGTGAGAATACCGGCCATGTATGTCAGAGTTGACCTACCAAACCTGCTTTAGTTGTGTACACTATGTATACTGCTTGTAGTCAATGTTAACCTGTACATCAGCACCTCTTTATAACACCTGTCACATCTATATTACATTTTCCTTAAACTCAAATCTGACAGTTACCTGTCCAATACATACCTGTACAGGTAATAATACACCTGTGGTTTTGCCTATGAACATTCCTAATGGGTTGTATATGTATAACAGATAAACGAGATTTCACTTTTCAATCCCGTTGTAGAGATGTCATTACAGACCCTACATACCTCACAGGTAGTTTACTACACACTTTCCAGAAGATTCTCTCAACAACTATCCCATTTGATGTGCAGGACTCATCACCCTTCACATTATACATTTTTTCACTTCTGTTTTGTGTCGTCATTTCCGTTTTTCAGCCTGTTCATGCAGTAGTGTAACTTTAGTTCAGACTGAGTAAACACCAGCACATATGAATGTGTAGTAATCAATGTGTACACCGGGGTCAATGTCAAAAGGTTAGTTTTGGTCGACAGAGTGTCACATATCAAACAGACATTTTCCAAGCAACATACATTGCTGTATGGGAGAAGTAAAATTTAATTTGAATACATGTATCGGTCTCATTACACATTCCATGTAAACAGTAATCTTGGATGGTTTAGGCAAAGTTTGGAAGTGCACCAAGTCAGGATCCAGACTTGATTTGTACATACACTGTCTATCGCAACTACGCTAACACTCTTTCAAACTCAATAGACTGCAAAGGCTGTAATTTTCAAGGCTTCTATTTTCAAATCCTTTCAAGTAGAAAATTAAACTATAAAGAATAGACATGTGCACCTTGACAATAAAAAAAGAGAGTCTATTTCAAGACTTCAGTTACAACATGACTTTGGGAAATATCAAGCCAATCTGAACCAGGACAACATGCAAAATTGCAGTGCCATGTAGGTTTATAGAAAATATGAACATGAGAACACTGTGTAGGTGTGCGGAAATATTAACCTGAGAACACTGTGAAGGTATATAGAAATATTAACCTGAGAACACTATGTAGGTGTTGAGAAATATTAACCTGAGAACACTATGTAAGTATATAGAAATATTAACCTGAGAACACTGTGTAGGTATATAGAAATATTAACCTGAGAACACTGTGTAGGTATATAGAAATATTAACCTGAGAACACTATGTAGGTTTGTAGAAATATTAACCTGAGAACACTGTGAAGGTGTATAGAAATATTAACCTGAGAACACTGTGAAGGTATATAGAAATATTAACCTGAGAACACTGTGTAGGTATATAGAAATATTAACCTGAGAACACTATGTAGGTATATAGAAATATTAACCTGAGAACACTATGTAGGTATGTAGAAATATTAACCTGAGAACACTATGTAGGTATATAGAAATATTAACCTGAGAACACTGTGTAGGTGTTGAGAAATATTAACCTGAGAACACTGTGAAGGTATACAGAAATATTAACCTGAGAACAGTGTGTAGGTATATAGAAATATTAACCTGAGAACACTGTGAAGGTATGTAGAAATATTAACCTGAGAACACTGTGTAGGTGTATAGAAATATTAACCTGAGAACACTCTGTAGGTGTTGAGAAATATTAACCTGAGAACACTGTGTAGGTATATAGAAATATTAACCTGAGAACACTATGTAGGTATGTAGAAATATTAACCTGAGAACACTGTGTAGGTGTATAGAAATATTAACCTGAGAACACTGTGTAGGTATATAGAAATATTAACCTGAGAACACTATGTAGGTATGTAGAAATATTAACCTGAGAACACTGTGAAGGTGTATAGAAATATTAACATGAGAACACTCTGTAGGTATACAGAAATATTAACCTGAGAACACTGTGAAGGTATATAGAAATATTAACCTGAGAACACTGTGTAGGTATATAGAAATATTAACCTGAGAACACTGTGAAGGTATACAGAAATATTAACCTGAGAACACTCTGTAGGTATACAGAAATATTAACCTGAGAACACTGTGAAGGTATACAGAAATATTAACCTGAGAACAATCTGTAGGTATATAGAAATATTAACCTGAGAACAC